AAGGCTTTGAGGCCAGACAAGAAGGTATGGCAGTCGCCAAGGCGAGCCAGGTATACAGACTGATTGCACAGCAGCTTAGGGGTCCCTTCCTTTTATGACCATGATTTTAAAGCGAGCCCACAAGTGCGGCTGTGCTCTTCTCTGGCCACCGTGGGCAGAATGGGCCTCAGCACAGATTGGGCAACAATGTGGATTCACCTGGGGCTCACTTGGCCGAAAGGGAGAAGAGAAAGAGGGGCTGGAGCGTTGAGGACGACATTCCCTGCTGAGGTGTCTGAAACAGCACTCCCTCTGAAAACACATCCGCTGCCTATTCCCCTTTTCTGCTTGCTTTTTCTCCTTAGCAATTACTGTTACCACATCACATACTTAATTTCTCTTACTTACTGCCTGCCTCTCCTATTGTGAAGTCTCCATGAAGGCAGAGCTATTGTCTTCAAAGGTAAGATTCGGGGCTGGGTAAGACACAGCAGTTCACTGTAGAATCTGTGTCCCCTCCCCCCACTGCCCTGTGGTTTCACAGAAAGTGACTGGCTCGTATGATCCCCAGCAGCTATTTTTAAAGGACTGAGTGGTTTGGAGCTTTAAAACTGGTAACATTAATTTCTTATGCTTATTATAATAAAGGGACCTTATGGTGGTGGAGGTTTCTCTAAAAAAATTTTTTTTTAAAGATTTTATTTATTTATTTTTAGAGAAAGGGGAAGGGAGGGAGAAAGAGAGGGAGAGAAACATTGATGTGAGATTGCCTCTTCCTGACCAGGGACCACACCTACAAGACAGGCGTGTGCCCTGACCAGGAACCGACCTGGCGACCTTTAGGTTTGCAGGATGACACTCAACAAACTAGCTACACCTGTGAGGGTCTCTCTAAAAATTTCTTAAGTAGAAGAGAGTAATAAAAAGTAGAAGGTGGTGAGAAATGAGATTGGAACACACACATGGGCTAGTTCAGAACATCCCCGTGGCCAACTTGCTCCCGACTGTGGGTGGGGAGGGATGGGAGAGGGGAGTGAATGAACAACACTTACGTTATAGAAGTTCTCTCTGGTTTAGTGTGGAAAATGGATTCAAGGGGAAATGGACTGGGTTCCAGAAACCAACAAGATGGCTGAGCAGTAATACAGTGCGAGACAAGGGTGGCCTGAACTCAGGAAGGGGCAAGAGGATAAAAGCAAATGGATTTGAACACAGAGGGGGTGGGGTCAGCCAGACTGGGCTGTGTGAAGGTTCAGGAAAGGCCTGGCGGGCAGGGAGCCAAGGCAGCAAGCTCGCCCAGCCAGTCTGTGGACCACACCCAGCTTGTTTTCAAGGTCTTGACTACTGGAAACTACAGGACCACTTCCACAGTATCTGATTTTTGGCTAAAAATACCATTAAAAAACCCCATGAAAACCGAATAATTTCCAGTGATGTCATCACGATAGGTGCAGTACTGATGAGACTTTTGGCAGGACTCACTCCAGCAGCCCGCTTCCTGTTGGCCTCTCAGGGGCTGCCTCCGCTGCTTGCCCAGGAGGCCGACTGCAGCCCAGGGCACAGGCCGAGGGGCTGCTCCGGCTGTGTGCTGTCCACTAGCAAATTCCTTTTAGGAAATCACATTTCAGTAGTTCTCCACCAGACCGCCTATGCGCATATACAGAACACTTATCAAGTCCCTGGCACTGTGTTGTGGACCGTATGTCTACACACATATTTATGCTCATATACCCATGTTCACGTGACAGCTGTGTGCCAGCACCTGCCGGTGGGCCAGTGCCTGTGGACACATACGCATGCACACTGCACAGAGGTCTCCGACACCTGACCAGCGTGCTTGCTTGCTGAGCTTTTAGAACAGGGGCTCAAGCACGAGTTCCAAAATAATTGGATAAATAATCTTAGCCACGTTGTTTGTACATTTCCTCCCCTGAAAGTAGGAGTATGAAAAGTACTGATTTTTAAAAGTTATTTCAGTCAATCACGGTGGCTGCATCCTGGACTATGCATTCCTTTATCATCAACAGTCCTCCTAATAATTCTGAGAATGAACAGCACTTAAAAGCCTGTAAGACGAAAAACAAGTTTCAGTATAAGGCACTGCTACAAGTTTAGGGATTCAAGTCTCCTAGCTATGGGGCCTCTTAAATAGTGGAGTACGTTGTACTTTATCATGCTTCACAAGTTCAAATAAATGCATGTCAAATACGAAAATTCTGCAGAAAGAATCATGGTTGGAAGGAGAGTTTGGCCTAGAAAAAAACAATAATAAATGCACTCGCTTTTTGTCACTCACTCATTCATTCATTTATTCAACAAATGTGTTCTCAGTATCTGCTAGGGCTGGGCCTTCTTTTTGGGTCCAGAGACCAAGGCTCTGGTGGAGAACACAAGAGACAAGTTACTTTATGGAGCTGACATTCTCATGGGAAAGGAAGAAAATAAAAATGTAAGTAAAGAATCATGCAGTTGCTAATTGTGATGAGTGCTGTAAGGGAAAAAGAAAGTGGATAACAGGATAGAAAAACTTGAGGGCAAGGCCTTGTCTTATGCATCTTGCTGTTTCTAGCATTTGTCAGAATGCTGAGAAGAGAGTGGTTGTTCAGATATTTGTACTATAAATTAAAGCAAGATTTTAGGTATCTGCTTTTTTATTACTTACATTTATTGGGGTGACATTGGTTAATAGGATCACATAGGTTGGTATTTGCTTTTATTTCTGGAAATACTGGATTAAATCTGCATATTGAGGTATTAGGCACTTTAAATTGCAAGGTGTAATCCCGAACTTAATAGAGTGAAGAGAGAGAGCCAAGTGCTAATAATCCTGCGGAATACTTTTAAAGGTGTACTAACAGCCCCAATCCAAGCAACTGTGGATATTTTTAGTTCAAGTTTTCTAATACAATAAAATGTGTAAAGTATTAATGAGCTTCTATTATTGCAGACAATATATATAATTTTAATAATCTACACATTATTTTTAATACAATGATAATGTAAAATTAAACTTATTTACTCATTTTTTTTTCTGAGGACTATGGAAGAATCAAATGTAATGGGATCCACGAAGGGGTGGTACTCCATTTCTCTTAAACTTGACACAAAATATCTGAGTAGATTTATAGTTTCTAGTTATCAAAGTAGACTGACTGATGGAAAAGCTAAGCTAGAAAATGGGATGCCAAACCTTCACGGGACAGACAGTAAGGGACAGTAACCTTCAGTCCCTCAGTAAGCAAGAAGTACTGCTACAAATTCTGCTATACTTTTCAAGATTTTTTAAGATCTCAGCCAATATGACAGAAACTTTTTCACCTTGCATTTAAACACTGTGGTACAGATAAATCAAAGTTAGACACTTGCGGCCCATTAGAATAATGTATCCTTATATCCTCGGCCTAGGTTGCTACACCATTAGTTGCTTCAAGGTAAAATAGTTGTTTTTAAATATTGTCTCAACTCAGGTTCGAGGCCCTAGCTAGAGAGCAATCAGTTCCCTGCCGGCGCAGCTGAGCACACTCACCCGCCCCGCCACTTCCCTTCCTGGGCTTGCACACTCCGGCCCCTGCACACCTGCTGGAACTACCCCCGGCGCACAGCAGCCAGCCAGGGACAGTCCCATGCCTCAGAGCCCACTGAAATCACTCCAGCTAGCCAATCCTAGCCTTATTCACCAGCTTGTTCTTTCCAGCGGAAACCACAGTAAAGGCGCTCACCCACGGTCCCCCTCCCTCGGCCTTGTGACCGACCCCAGGCTTCCACTGAGTGCCCTGCGTGGTGTGCTGTGCTCACCCCTGCGAGCCTTGAGTACAGAACCTGTGGACTCTTTCTGGTGTCTCTCCCTCTTGATCTGCCTCTGCCTCACTACAGTTCACTCAAGACAAGATGGTTAAAACACAAGGGCACAAGGCATATTTCTTTTAGATAAGAAATAACACTAAAATTAACTGCTAATGTTTCTTAATTAGAAGTAATATATTATATAACCCCAACATTAATTCCCTGCAACAGTTCTGATGGATTTATTTTGTAGCTGGCATTGATTTCCACTTCTAGGGTGCTGTAACCGACCATGGACAGAAAAAAGTTATCCAAAGCCTAGCTTTCACCAAGATATATTATTATAGGTTGCTGTGTACGTGAGATGGGATATTTTTAAAGGGTATGTTTGGGTCCACTAAACATATATTAGGTTATTCAAGTTAATCAATCCATTAAACACTCCACAATTCTTCAAAAGCATGAGAGATGAAAATACAGCAAAAAGTTCTGAGGCCATTTTTGAACGCGAGCTTGCCGTGAGAAGCAGCAGCAGGCCACTGCGCACCGGTGGCTCCTGTGCCCTGGAGTGCCTCGCAGCTCCCTGGGCTTAGGGCCTGGTGTGTGCAACACAGGCGTCTGACCTCATCGCTTTGCTCACAGACCTCTGTAGCAGCGGTCCCCAACCTTTTTGGCACCAGGGACGAGTTTCCTGGAATAGGGCAGGGGAAGAGGGGTACTGGGGGGAGGCGAGGGGAGCTCAGGGAAGCTCCCATCACCGCCTGGTTCCTAACAGGCCGCAGACCCAAACCGGTCCCTGGCCCGGGGACTGGGGACCCCTGCTCCAATAGCATCCCATCTCATTCAGCATAAAGGCTTAGGTTCTTCTCGGTGGGGGACAGCAAACTTTTTCTGAAGGGGTCAGAGAGCAAATATTTCAGTCTTTGCAGGGCAGATTCTGTTACAGTTATAGAACATTATTATGCTAGACTTATATGAAAATAGCATTAAGATTCTAAGCTGCCATGTCCAACTAAAATAATATTTTGTGGAATATGCATAAAATTTGCAAAAAATAAATATCAGTGTTGGTTTATAAAGCTTAATATTTTTATAGTAATTCAGTAAATATTTTCTGAATAAAAATATAAGTACAAGGTCCAGAATTATACATATTTACAAAAAGATTACAGCACAGACCTTAAACTAAAGGTTAATTTCTTCCGTAAAATGTATCAAACAATCAACAGCAGACTTACTTCAGATTACTGATCCTAATTTCAGCACTTTCAGTAAGCTTCTTTGTTTCTTCTTTCCACCGATTGGCTGCCTTCTGTTGAGTCGCTAAGAGATGCCTCAGTTCAACGGTAGAATTGCGGTTACTGTCTTCCATCTCTCTCAGCTGAACTTCAAACCCGTGTTCCTTTATTGAAAATTCGTGTTCCATTGTACTGATCTAGGGAATAAAATGAACACAGTACTTTCTTTTCCTTTTCTATTATTCTCAGGGATATACTGACCAGTGGTACACACAAAAGGAATCATTCATTGTGTTGTCTGTAGCACATAAAGGTTCAGATGAGAAATCCATAGAAAAATTAAGTTTACAATTTGTCTTTATCACAAATGAAAACTTATTCTGTGTTACAGTAAACATTTAGTGAAACCAGAATTATGATGGACTACAATTCTTTGCAGCACTTTCCTCAAGACCTTAAAATGCCAGTAGTAAAAAAGTATACTCTGTGATATGAAATTGCTCTCATCATTTACTTTTACGTTTGTTGCCATAATCCACAAAAAAATGCTCATGCTCTCAGTCACTGAGAGTTGTGTTTTTACTCAAGCCATTTAAAAAAATGTTTACTGGTTTATTATAAAGGATACAACTCAGGAACAGCCAGATGGAAGAGAGACACAGAGCGAGGAACAGCTGCACGGGGCTGTGAGCTTCCACACCCTCTCCAAGTGCGCCCCCCGCCCCGCCCAGTCCCTTGACGTGTTCCCCAACTCAGGAGCTCCTCCAGATGGTCTTTCAAAGGGCTTTATGAAGTCAAAGAATATTATATATCAAAATTCCTTTATCATTTCAGTTATAGTATGTTTTTTTCCCCCAGGGAAAAAGACTATCATAATGATTTTGAGAATCTCATATGGAAATTAGCTCAGTATATTTCTAGGTAATGTGTATCATTATAGGATAAATACCACAATGCAGAATGAGCATACAAGTGAGTGTTCTTGGGATACCCTAGACGTTTTCTTGGCTGGGACCCAGGGAGAGGATTAAGCCTTAACACCCCAAGGTATGAGACGAACTGCCTTCTCTTGTACTTGTGGAGAATGAAACTACCTATTACCATCCTTGAGGCAACTGAGAAAATAGCTCCTAGGATGATTTTGGTGTAGTACTCTCAGGACATCTTTATCTTGCTAGCTAAAGAATATTATAAAGAATAACTACCTTGCAGTACTTTAAAGTAATGTGCTTTAAAAATGGTCATAGCTGGCATGGCTTCTAGTAATTCATTAAATATGGTTACTTCTACACTCCAAAAAGAATGAACAAGGGACCCAATGCTACCAACTCAAAAGACACCAAAGGAAGCCCAACAGAAGCAGAGTCCCTGGCTCGCCGGGGCAAACTGCACACAGCCTGTCCCCACTGCCCCTCCGAAGGCCTCGGGCTTCCCATGACGCCCAAGTCTGCTTTCTCAAACAGTGCGCACGTAGACATTTAAGACTTTATGAGTACAGGCACTGGAAGACAATGTTGATTTCTTGGTTTTGTATCGCATTACTGCTGGGCAAGCCTCCTGAGGCTCCCTGACTCCTGCTATTTTAGTAATTTTTGAATTATTCGATTCTGAAAATTTAGATTTGAATATGCTCCCCGCTTCCCTGCCTTAACCGCCACTCTCTGGAGGAGCCATGGTTCTGGAATCTCAGGTGGAATTGTCCAGTTCTGTCTCCCTCACACATATATTAAACAATGACCCATGCACCTCTACAGCTGCAGAGCTCTGTCTCCCAGGTCAAGTGCCCGCCGCCTGGGAAGCCTGTGGGCCCCAGGGCCCTGCGGGACAGCCAGGCCTCTGCCTGCACCTGCGCGCCCGTCCGGCCGCTGCCGCCCTTGTTCCCATCTCTGTCGCGAAGGCTTCTCACTCTCGGCCCCTTCACACCTCCCTCGGCGTGGGAGAACCTTTCCCCTTCCGCTCAGGCTAGTTGGTTCTCTTGCGCTTTTAGAATTCAGCTTGGTTATTGCTTCTGCTGGGTAATTCTCTTAGCGTCGAGATAAAGTCAGGTCCTTCCGTGTAAGCTCTTACAGTGCCCTATGCGTTTCCTAGCAAGCATTCGTTTGTTTGTAAGTAGATGTTTAAAGTTTGCCCACCTCCAAGCAAATTATAAGTTTTTAAGTGTGTGGACCACATCTTTTTTGTTTACTGGTGTATCTTTAGGACCTGAAACATAGAAAAGTTGTCAAAACACAGCTGTAGATTGAATAAATGATGGCGTTTTGGTGTCAAATTTCAGTCTTTAAACAAACCTTAGGTCCTTTAGCGGGTGTGAGTCTGATTATTGAACTGGACAGGCCTGCAGCGATACGGGAAGGCTGAGGGCCACAGCCCAGAGCCTCCTATAATGAAAGTCCAGTGAACGATGGAATTCAGAGTGTTGGGTAGGGAAAAAGGATTTTCGGTCTCCCTCCCCCTGTGCCCTTCCCTGCAGAGAACATGAGTACCCCCTCTGTTGGGTATGCAGCCAGGATTATTTGGCGTAGTATATACGTGTGTCCAACTTTGCAACATTCTGCCAAATGGTGGTTGTACCAATTTACATTCCCAAAAGTGTCATATGAAAGTTCCAGTTGCTTTGCAACTTTGTCAGTGCTTGATATTGTTAGTTTTTAAATTTTATCCCTTCTGGTAGGTATGGAATTGTACTTCATTGTAGTTTTAACTACATTTCCCTAATAAATAATGAAATTGAACATGTTTTCATATATGCTCTTTTATAAAGTGCCTGTTTAGATCTTGCCCATTTATAGCAATGGGATATCTGTTATTTCCTTATTGACTTTTTCCTTGTTTATAATTTCCTTATTAATTGATAACAGTTTTTATATGCTGAACATGAGTCCCTTTTTTTGGTTGTATGTATTACAATACTTTCTCCCATTTTTCATTCTCCTGATGTCTCCTAATGTCATTCATTAATTTTAGTGAAATCCAATTCATCCATGTTTTCATTATGATTATTGCTTTGCGTTCTGTTTAAGAAATTCTTTCTTACTCAAGGACATGAAGATTTTTCTCTTTGAAGCTCCACTGTTTTATATTTTGCATTTACGTCTACAAGGTAACTGAAATTAATTTGCATGTATGGTATGATATAAGGGCCAGCTATTTTGAAAATATGATCTAGCATCATTTATTGTAAAGATAATTCTTTCCCTAATGAAGTGCGGTGGTGTCGTTGTTATAAATGAAGTGATTATGAAAAATTGGTTTGTTCCTACACTCTCTTTTGTTCCACCGATCAAGCTGATTATTCTTAATGTTGATTACACATTTTTAGTTACTGTCGCTTTATGTAAAGTCTTACTATCTTGTAGTATAATTCTTCCCTTGTTGTTCAAAAGATTTCCTACCAAATAAAGCATAAAGTTCAAACTCTTTTTCAGAGTTCAAGGTTTTATCAGAAACCACAGTGTCTAATACTTGCAGTAGGAGGCATTCAGTAAATACATGCTCATATCACTTTGGCTGAATGTGACTGCTTATGAGTCCCCCAGATAACAAAAACCAAAGTGAAGCCCCATCAGAAAGAGCTAATGCTGCCTTTTACCAGTCTCACTGGGCGGGAAAGACAGGCTATACGCTGATGGCGATGCCTGTGCTTCCTGAAGCTCCCTGGAGCGGACTGTCATGTTCCTATTGCCAGAGCACGTGAGCGTCACAGGGGGAGAAATGAGAGTGAAAAGGAAGGAAGGGGTGATTTTCCTGGGGGCAGGAAAACTCTGCCCCTCGCCGTCTTCCTAGCATGGAATCCCCAGACCCCAAGGAGGGACTCCCAGAGCGCACTGGCGGGCGCCCCACACAGCCAGTCTGAGGGCTCGGTTCTGAGAGGCCGGTCCGGAGGGTAAGACAGGCAGTCTATAAAGTTCCTTAACCTGTGGTTTTGCTAGCACTGCTGCAATTGCTTTGGCAGGACTATCAGTGTACTTCATGGTTGGGGAAGAATTTTTTGTGTGCGGATAGTGAAAGCAATCATTTTCGAGTATGCTTGCCAAGTTCTACAACACAGAAAAAACTGGTTAATGCTCTGCATTATGATTTAGTGCTATCTGACAAGAAGGCAAAAAAAAAAAAAAAGGCTTTAAAAATGTTTTACTAGGTCTCTAAATATTCCCTGTATTTGGATTTTCACAAGTACATATTTAACTCTGACTAGACTTGAAAGTACCTTTAATTTGGCCTTTTTTTGGGCCTCGAGAGCAATCTTTCTTAAATCCTCAGTCTCCTTCTGTAACTGTTCATTTTCTTGCTGAAGTTTTAGCCTTTGTTCACTGACTAATCCACAGTTTTCTCTCTCAGATTCCAAGACACTTTGAAGTTTCTGAATCATTTCTTGGCAACGTGATATCTCTTCTGAGGAACTGATTAAGAAAAAAAATAAAAGAGATATAAACTTAAAGTACAGACTTTTTTTCTTTGTTCTGAGCCATTTCTCTTCACTGTAGACTTAACCGTATGGTGTCACAATGTTATCTCATGCCAGGAAAATACATCCAATTTAGCAATCTTAACTAAGAATAAGCAAATCTAACTGTTACCACTCACCTAGAAAATGTATATGAAACTTCTTTCAAATTTTTACGAACATTGAGAATCACTGTGTAAACAGGACTTCAGGGGGACAAATTGCAGCTAATGGTAAGAAAGGTGAAGTAAGTAATAATCAAAACCCCTTTAGTTCATCAATTAACTCCACAGAAAGACACTAGCTGACCATGATAGTAAATTATAATAAGACCTCTTTCATATGTTCCTGTTATATGTCTTAGAAATGGTTTTTATAAATCTTTAGTTCCATAAACTTCTTATTTAATCATAGTTTAAGTAGGTTATATTTTTTGAACTTTCTCTATAGTAAGTTATTGGGTGACCCAGCCTCCAAGCTAACATATATTGCTAATTTTTATTCCTCTCATTTTAAATCTCTATCTTTCCAATCCCAGGTAATCAAATACTGTGAACATTCCCTGGTCAATACAAGGCCCTCGTTCCCCATCCCATATTGCTAGTGTTTCAAGAACTACAAGGTATAGAAAAACAAGATAAATGATATCACATATATGCATCCTATTTAACTGCCAGAAAGGAGAAAATTAAAGTAAAATGATAAAGTACTATTAAATCTTTTCTTCCTGAAGAAATTAGTCTTCATAAATAATTTTGAAAAATAAAAAGAACCTATTTGATGTTAAAAGTTTTTTTTGTAACATAAGATATAATTATGAGTCCTATAAAGAAGTAAAGACTATCGAAAATTGTATGCATTCTGAAAGTGTTACCACAGAAAGTCCTACAGAATATCTTACTTTATTTCAAGTTGTTTTATTTTGTTTTCTGCTGTCTTAAGTCTTAGATGAAGATCATCTTTTGAACGCTCTGCAACCAGGCATCTTTGGTGCATTTCTTCCAGTTTTCTGTAAAGGCTTTCACTTCCTTTGCCTTCACGGTAGATCTGTGGAAGAGGCTTATATGTATATTACCTTACAGAAGAAGTGGTCTAAGAAATTACGGGTTTAGAAACTGAAATCAAAGATGAGAAACCAAAACCCATGATTATGTGTTCATCTGTTTTCACTGCAACGTATTAAAACATATTAATAATAAATCTTGTTTTACATTTACAAAATACACATACAATGCTAAAAACTGACATATAAAATAATCACTGCTTATTTTGAAGTTATTCATGCTCATTGTAAATTATTCCAATGGTTTTAATATTTAAAAAATGTAAGATGGCTGAAGTAAAAAAAAAAAAGGACTCTAGATGTCACCATTTAAGAGATAACTGCTTTGAGTCTTGAAGAAGATCCTCCTAGTCTATTCTGTATTCGAATACTGAAGAACAGATACGTGCTGTGATGCAATGTGCCGAACTTTCTGAAGGCGACTCCAAAACCCCACTCTGTGTTAGTTAGACAATGATCTAGCTGGGATGCCCAGCAGCAGTGGCTGCACCCAAGCTCAGCTTCCCATGAGACTGGCCCTTCTCCCACGACACAGGGGCTCCAACACCCCAAGAACTGCAAGGCCTGCAGGTGCTGGGCAGCGCATGTCTCCAGGGAAATGCAACACACAGCTCCCCCTCATGTCCAGACTGCCTGGACAAGCAGCCTGTGTCTTTACCACTGACAAGACAGTTTTGTTACTCCTGCGTTATGTAAACTGCAGACACCAGCACAGTGTGCTGCTGCTACCAAGATAGACGCACCCTGCAGTCCAGAGGTGACTTGAGCGCACCCGTCTATGGGGCAGCGGGAGAGCAGGAGCTGCGTCTTCGCTACCTGTTGCCTTCAGCCTTGGAGCTTTGGTGTTTCCCCATTAACGCCTATTCCTTAACCTAGGCGATGAGACATTGAAGATTCGCCCCAAGCCCTGATGTGTAGCAGGTGGCAATCTGAATGGGACAAATGTGCCAACAGCTGAGAAGGCATCAACCCTGAAGGCGAGTGGTGGGGTTACACTAGATGGTTTGCTCTGTAAACTACTTTTTTCATGATTCGAGGTTGTTATGGTCTTTTTATGTCAGTAATACAGATATATCACGTGCTTTTTATGCTGTATAGCTCTTCTTTGAAAAAAATCAAACTTTGACTTTACCATTGACTATTTTTTAACGCTGGGCAAGTATGTGCTGAATCAAATTCAAACTCCCTCTTTTCCCCAAGCACTTGGAGACAGTGAGATAGTCACTGCTGATAAAAAAAAGTTATCTGAGTAAGAAAAATTTATAACTATATACTTCTTGCAATATTTTTTCTCAAATATCATTGCAGTAAATATTTTTCTTAACTATGAAATAAAAATCTGTACTCTTAAAGGTAAAAATTACAGCAGTGTTATAATTTTCTGGTTATATATACTTGCTATATTTATAGATGGCCTAAACCCAATAAGAGGTGGTATAAAATTTAAAAAGATAGACAAAATAAAATTTACCACCGGGTTGAGGTTTAAGCAAGGAATATAGCTACTTCATAAAATTTATACCTTTAAATAAAAGTTCAAATCATGTGGCCATTCTTCTTATAAGAAATGTAGTCAGACATTATCAGTATTTAAATGCAGATTCTGAATATATGCCAAGCAAATAAAAACACTCACCAGGAGAGTACTTATAATATAGGGGTTGCTAGCAGATAGTGATGAAATCAGACAGTAATGTTGAATAATTGCAGTTGGGTTTTAGGCAGTTATTTTTTCCTTTTTCTTTTTACCTTTTCTAGTTCTTCTTCCACTGCTTTTTTCTCCTTAATGACTCGTTCAGTTTGGCCTTGTTTTTCGGCACACTCCTATAAATTCAGGTCATATTATAAATAAATACATTTGTAAATTCTTGGGAAAGATGGAAAAGTACAATGATTTGTTCACAATAGGAATATCACTACTCTATCAGTACAGCAGGACCATATTGATTAAAAAAGAAAACAAAACCAAAAGGAACAAACAAATTCAATCTTCCAGGAGCCACCTGCTCCAGGGATTCAGAAACCACTTCCACTACCAAAGGCCAAGGAGCTCTAAGGAAGTGCACCAGGTGGGTGGCAGAGGTCGAAGGTGGGCAGGGAGGAAAAAATAAATGAGGCTCCTTTCTCACACTACAGTTTTTCTTTTCCTATATTCTTATCACATATTTCAAAAAGAAACACAGAACTAGACAGAGGCACAGCCCCTGAGGATAACCTGTGGACTAAAAGGAGCACAGGTATAAAAATTGTAAAAGATGTAATTTTTTTCAAAACGGATATATAGCCAGTACAAATAAAACTAAAAATAAAAACAATCATTATAATGACCAGTTCTTCACAGTTATTTTTATCTATTCACTTCTTTTTGAGAATGGTATGGCTATCCTACTAATTGTAAATTATGCTTTGAATGAACCTGTTTTGCTAACAGTACACTGCTAATTAATCCTCAATTATCTTTATCATAACTTTATCATAAATTTTATCAATGTTTTTAAATTTTAAAATAAGTTTTTAAATTGTGACTCATAATAATTAACTCTGATCATAATGGAGATCTTTGACCGTACATTACAAATCAGATGAGTAATCTAAGTTTATTATATTTTAATAAGATAGAACCAAGTGTATAAGAAATGAAACTTTAATGTTCCCTATGTTCACATAGTAAGTTGCTAATCTATGAAAAAGGTAGTTTTATGGTGTGATTTCTCCTATGTTCATAACTCATCCTATGTGATTTTTTTAAAGATACTTTAAAAAAAAATTCTCACCTGAGGATAAGTTCAGTGATTATAGAGAGAGAAGGGGGGAGAGAGAGAAACATTGACAAAAGGGAGAAACATCAATTGGTTGCCTCCTGTACATGCCCTGATCAGGGATTGAACCATGCAATGTTTTTGGTATATGGGATGATGCTCTAACCAATTGAGCCATCCTGCCAGGGAAAGACACTATTTTTTAGAGAAATTTTAGATTCACAGCAACATCGAGTGGACGTTACAGTGACTTCCCTTATAATCCCTGCCCCATACATGGACAGCCTCTGCCATCATCAACATGCCTCACTGCAGTGGAAGCTTTGTTACAAACGATGAACCTAGACTGATACAACATCATCAAGCAAATTCCATCATTTACGTAAGAGTTTGCTGTTGGTAATGGGCATGCTATGGGTTTGGATAAATTCACAGTGACACATATCCACCACTGTAGCAGCATACAGAGTAGTTTCACTGCCCTAAAGGTCCTTTAAGCTTTGCTTGCACCTAGTCATCCTTCTCTCCTCCTTAACCTCTGACAGCCACTGATCTCTTTACTGTCTCCATAGTTTAACCTTTTCCAGAATGTCATATCGTTGGAATCATACAGGACGGAGCCTTTTCAGACTGGGTTCTTTCATTCAAAAATATGCATGTAAGTTTCCTCCATGTCTTTTCCTGGCTTTATAGCTCATTTCTTTTTAGTGGTGAATAATATTCCATTGTTTAAGTGTACCACAGCTCATTTAACCATTTACATACTAAACAACATCTTGGTTGTTTCCAAATTTTGGCAATTATGAAAACCGTCCCTATAAATAGCCACGTGCAGGTTTTTGTGTGGACCTAAGTTTTCAGCTCATTTGGGCACATATGGAGGAGTGAAATGACTGGATCATGCGTAGGAGCACCTTCAGTTCTGTAAGAAACCACCGAACCACATTTAAAACTGCCTGCACCAGTTTCCATTCCCACCAGCAATGAATGAGGGTTCCTGCTGCTCCACACCTGTGCCAGGGCTGGTGCCCTGTACCCTGGCCATTGCTAGGGGGGTACCTGGCACTATTTGGTGGAATGGGTGGTATCTCATTATTGGTTGAGTTTGCATCTCCCTGGTGGCATATGTTCTGGGGCGTCTTCTCATTGGCTTATTTCCCATCTGAATATCTTCTCTTGTGAGGTGTCTGTATGGTCTTTGGTCCATTTTTAAATTGAGCTATTTGTTTTCTTATTGTTGAGTTTTAGGAGTTCTTTGAATATTTTGGATAAGAGGCTTTTATCAGATATTTTGCAAATTTTTTTTGCAAATATTTCATCTTTTGCAAATATTTTTTTCCCAATCTGTAGCCTGAATTTCCTGAGAAAATCTTTTTTTTTTTTAAAGGTAGGTGAACATGTCTTCTTTCAAATATATTTCTAAGTGCTTAAACACTATTTTCCTTTCTTTTTATTAAATTTATAGGGGTAATATATACAGTGGAATACCACTTGGCTGTAAGAAAAGATAAAATATTGCCATTTGTGACAACATGGATGGACCTTGAGAATATCATGTTAAGCAAAATAAGTCAGAGAAAAAGAGCCATATGATTTCATTCATACGTGAGATAGAAAAGTGAAAACAAATGGACAAACAAGAAAAACAAACAAAAACTCACGGACATAGACAACAATAAACACTTTTTCAGTTAGTACAGTTTTCCCCATGGAATCAACATGACATCAGATAAATTTAATATTTTCAGAAAAATCCACTTAGCTATTAATTAGAATTTTTTTTTTTTACTATAAATCCTAAGAAAACATGTATCGAAATAACCTGAAATTTTAATCTTTTACTCTAAAGTGAGTTTACATAGCTCTGCTGGTTGTGGAGGTAAAAGTTAAAATCCTCGCAGGGCTTAAACAGCACACACTCTTTTGGGAAAATAGAAAGGGCCAATGCTCTTGTCCTCCTAGAGTTTAAAGTCCACTAAATAAGCCTGGATGGAGGTAGGACCTTCTTCCTCAAAGCTGTGACTCCTTTTATAGCTAAATCACTCCGTGTAAAAGAACAAGCAAAACAGCAAAGTGATAGAAGAGAAAATAAAAATGAAAAACCACAGAGAGTTAAATGTGACTAATTGGCCATACTGCATCCCATTAATTTTACCTGTTACTGTATCCTTAAAATAAATGACATTAAATAAAGAAAAAGTAACAGTTTCCTGTTTCTGTTGGTCTCAGAACCTGTACACAATGTGTGCTACAGGGTTTGTAGAATGTGGAAAAGATTTCCACCTTCTTTGGAAATGCTTATACTTTTATTCCCCTGTAAGCAAGCTTATTAAATTCCATTTCATTAATCTTCAAGTTAAATGTATTTATCTAATCCATCTCTAGTCACACAAATACTGTTTTCTCTCCCCTGTGCCTACTCATCCTTCACACTCTCACGTGTACTTTTTCTTTCTCCCTGGTCCCTCACACGAACCCAGCACGTGGCAGCAGATGCTTCGCTAGCACCATGCTCATTCTTTGTCAGAGACAGGTAATCAGGGTAAAGTGTGATAAATGCCATCCCTCCTTCCTGCTAGACCAGAAGGTCCAAGACTGCAGATAACATGTTTATCTTGAGTTTCACTCTTTTATTAGCATCTAGCATAGCTCTTAACAGAACCTTTTGAATGAACTAATGCCCAATAATATGTACCTTGGCTTTTAACATAAGCAATCTCAGAAGCAAATATCAATACAGTCTTCTAACATACCATCTGAAGGGCTGAAAGTTCTTCTGTCAGTCGAGAAATCTGTATATTATATTGCTTTCTTGTGTTTGAAACCTGTAAATTAAGATATTTTTGAACTGTGTATGTCTACAATAAAAAGTAATGATATCCTATATACACACAATTAAAATAATAATTTTTATAGAAAATAAAGTAACTTTTAGGGCATAAAAGATAGAGAAGCAAATGATGTATTAAAGAGCCACGAGTACAACTCAGGAGTCGCGGCAGCACGGCCCCTGCCACCCAGACCCGCCGTTTCCTGGAGGTGGACCCCTAAGCCAGCGACTTCACTGTTCCAGGTTTCAGTCTTTTCATCTCAGAGTGGACATCTGGGGTTTCTTCCTCCTGAACTCACATTACACTTTCAAAATTTACCACGCCATTTATAAATAGATTCATATCCATACTGGAGGAAAAGACACACATATGCATGGCATCTCTGTCTCTTTAGATAAAAGCAAACTTATTTCCAAGACAGTTCTAACTTTCATAAGCCTCACAATTCAAACCAAGAAACAACTTTAATACAAAAAATGTTAGCGTTAGTCTTGAAAACAGAATACCAAACAACCACACAATTCACAAATTGGGCTAAGGATCAGCATGATGTGGCTGAAACAAAACTGGGCTTGGTACAGCAAGGAGAAGGTAGGGGTCTAAGTCCCGGCTTGAATTAGTTTGGAACTTTGAGTAGTCAATCACCTCGTGCGGGTTTTAGTTTCTTTACCAATAACGTAACAGGCTAAACCAGACTTCTCCAGTCCTCAGATGCTCTAAGATACTGCAAACAACAGGCTTTCTTATTTCTTACGCATTCTAAGTTCCTTTTTGAGCCTCCTTTTTGACTTTACACTTCAGGTGTGTTAATCTTTACAACGTCCTCACCCAAGTCCCACTCATTCCCACCGTCTGAACCTCCACCGCTGGCCCACTCCAGCTCAAATAGTAAGTGCTACTATCCTCCGCGATTTTTGTTTGACATTTAGCATAATTGATGCATTTAGCTGATAGTTAAGCCCTTTAGGCAAAAACTTAGGTAGTATTTAATCTTCAGCTGTAAAATTTAAAATTTTAAATATAATTAAAAACCCCTTACTTCCTTCTTGGTTCTTGCGGCAGCATCTTGAATAATCTGAGAAATTGTTTCTCTCATTTTCTCTACCTCTTCTTCTTTTTGCTTCTCCTCAAGCAGAGCCTTCAGAAAAATAATCATTCAATGTTATTATAGATCGCAGTGCTATTAATAAAGGTAACATAATAAATGGGTGAAAACATACACATTAACTACCTTCTTGAAAACAAACATCTTATTCTGAACTTCAGAGACCTCTCCACTTGGAGCCCTTCCCAGGTTATGAATGTGCCTGTTCCCTCTAAGCTCCTCGCCAACCCTGTCCTAACAAGAAGTGGATTCTTTCCCTTTGGCGTTTATTTCAGCCAGTGCCATCGCTCTCTAGTCTCCACGGCTGGAGATCTTAGAGTCATGCTTGAATGTTTCTTTTCCTTCTGTCCCTACAGAAAGTAAGTCATCAAATCCTGGTATTACCTTCTTGGAAAAATCTCTTGGATTTCCCTTTCCTTATTCAAATTAAGTCCCCTGTCACCTCACACCCCAATCACTGTGGACACTACCTGCTCCGTCTTCTTGATGTGTTTCTCTCTCCAATCATTTTTATTTCCCACCTGAAAAACAGTCTTATCATCCCATCCTTATCCCAGTCTTATCAGCCACACCCATTTCTTTGCTTCCCTGGGGAGTGAGCTCCTCCAGTGGAGGCTTCCTTGTCTCTGGTACTTTGAGGGACACCCTACTCAGGCTTTCCCCAGCCATGATCCCCGCCGATGACTCAGGAGTCCATTCTGAGCCATCATCTTATTTTACCTGTCAGCAACACTTGAGACACTGCGTTACTTTCTCCCTTGTTTTACTTCGTTATTGGGCTTTTAGTGCACCTGGTATTGGTTTTCTTCCTAACCCACCTGTTGGTCCTTTCAGGTCTGTGTTGCTGCTGCTTCCTCTTCTTCTCTACCTCTCAGCTATTAGACTACCTGAGACTCAGGCCTTGCTCCTTTGCTCCATCTCTGTCCATCCTCGGCGGTCTAATCCAATCTCAGGATTTTAAATATCATTTATATGCTGACAATTCCCAAATTTACCTCTCTTGCCCTAATATCTTTCTGAGCTTAAAACAGCTCCAACTTTATGCCTGATTGAGTCTCTCTGTCTTTAATGATCACATAGTAAGGGACTCTGTGTTCCGATCCTACTATCTTTTGAAGATACCACACACATTCCCATCTGTGTCTTTTAAAAAAAAATTGTAAATAAATTTCCTCCTGCTTAAGCAGGTAAGATAGTAAGAGTAACAGGGGTTTTGATGTGATAACCTTGTTGCAGGGAGAGCAAACCACCGAGGAAAGTGGGAAGCTCCGTCCCAGAACAGTGCTAGGCTGTGCTTCACGTCTGTCTGTATGATCGGCCGAAAGAACCCGGGGCTTCTTGGGCAAGCACCCGAAGGGAGGAACCCTCTAATAATTAGGTGGTGAGTCCCAAAGGGGCTCAACATTGCAGCCCCCAACAGCCTCTATGGGGGTCTGCTGCCTGAGCACGTGAGTGAGGGATGGGTGGGCAGGCAGCAGGCATTGTTACTGCCTCTCTGTGCACCTGCTCTACATAGAATGGTCTTTTCCCACAGCCTGGTGCTGGGGATGCTCCTGCTCCTGGGCTTCAGAGGGGAAAGAGAAATGATTTTGTCCTGAACCTTTTTTTTTTGAAGCTAACTTAGGTATTTAGAGAAATTTCAAAGCATTTTATGTCTATTTTGTGCCTTTCAACCACTCTAAGAGGCAGAATTCAGATGGGAAGATCAGCATTCCCACAGTTTAAATTTTGATAATTATTTCTTTTAATTTCTTATTAGCTTCTTAATATACAACTTATTGTTTGTTTTGTTTTTAATAGCTCTTTTGGAAAACCCTCTACTATGTAAGAAAGGAAAACATAAATAAAGCATTTTCTTTGTACTTCCATATTTCCCAGTTGACTATTGTGCATGTAATAGGTATTCAGTAAATGTTGGTTAAATGGATTAATGATTTAATGATCTCCATATAAAGAAGGCAGCAACACTAAAAACAAATATATGAGTATGTCCTTTATGATTTCTATAAACTATATACCATTCACATGAAAGTGGTAAAACGCAAAAATATGATATGTGATAGGTGGGAGTCAATTGTTAGAGTTTAGAAAAACCACAACAGTGACACAAGGCTCCAGTTAATAAATCTTTGCAGCTAAATTTAATTCCTGTTGTTTAAGCTCCTGCTCTATTAGAGTAACTGTGTAGGTGATAAAGGAGAAATAAAGATCAATATGATTCATTGGGTTCAACTGAATAAAATATAGAGCATACAGCAGTAAAGTGCTGACATGGATTTTTTTTAGCTTCCGAGATCAGACGAGATCGGGCGTGTTCGGTGAAACAGATTTTCTAAAGTGTATGAGACTATACACTTTATGGATTATGTCTACAATCCTTGTGCAACTAATCTGCATCTGATATGTATATATAAGTTTTGGGAGAGGGCTGACATTTTATCATATTTTATGATATTAGGTCTTACCATCAATAATATAATGTTTATTAATGGAGAGCATAGCAATTTCATTTTCATGTTTATTCTGCCGTTACAAATTCCCATACTGTTAGGTCATGTGGAGGAATAGTCAGTATTTTATTTTTCTAGAACCATGTTAACTAGTTTTCTTACCTGGTTTTTCTGCAGGGTAGCTTCCTCTAAGAGTTGCATGCTGTTTCTGGCTCTTACAATAGCTTCATACTTCTCATTTTCTAATTCGTTATACTTTGCGTGTAAGTCTCTGGTCTGATTTTCCAAATGTGTTTTCTCTGCTCTTAATTGGTTGGCTTCTTGGATTGCTACACATAATCTAAAAATTAATAATTGCATTGTGAAAGTTAAATGTTTTTAAAGGGAAGGAAGAAGATAGCTTATTTACTGAGCACCTGTCTTGCTTGTCACAGGACAAGCATTATTCCAGTTACTTTCACATGTATTTTCTCATTTGATTAGTACAAAAATTCTGTAGCATAGATTTTGTTATTTCTACTTTAAAGAAAATCAAATAAACCCATTTTAATGAGGTTAAGCACTCAATTAAGGTCGTATAGCTAGTGAGCAGTGGGGCTGAGACTATACCTAGATACTCAGGCCCTATGTTAAACTTTGTACAGTATCATGGTGTAATATACAGTTACATGAGAATGTTACACAGCAAATCCTTAAAGAATGAGTTGTTATTTTCATTTATGTGGTCTTTTTTCTCCTTTCCTTTTTGCTTGGCTCCCAGTTCCTACTCTCTACCCAGATAACCCATGTTAACTTACTAATATGTATCTTTGAATATTTTTCCCAAGCTCATAAAATCATATACATATATACACATAAATACATATACACAGTATATACACATTGATCCCACAGATTTTAAAAGTATTTTTGTATTATGAAATTTAAGATCACCCTTTTTTGTACTTGCTTTTCTCACTGAATAATATCTTGTAGAAGTCCTCCAGCGAAACATCCAAAATGTCCTTCCTTTCCTACTCTAATGGCTTTAACTTTATTCCACTGTTAATTGTATCTCTGTGATTGCTGGAGGCTTTAAGATATTTTTCAAAGTTTGACGTGTGACCTGTCATCTTTAAATTTTTTCTTCATATCATTTACCCATTTTTTTTTCTGATGGGTTATTTACTTTGCTTGTTCCTTTATAGGAACTCTTTGAATATTAAGATATTAACCTTTGATCTGTCCTACACACTGCAAATGTTTTTCCCCAAGTCTACTTTTTTTGTTGTTGTTGCCCATTGACTCTATAGAGGGAATCTTTATTACATGACAAAATTTCCCTTTATTACAGATAAATTTGACTATATTTTCATCTTCTCAGATTTCAGTTTTTATGAAGATGATCTGCCTTATCCATAGATTTTTAATGTAAGCTCCTAGATTTCCTCAAAAGATTGCTATGTCTTTCATTTTTTTACCCCTAAATCTTTAATAGCATGTTCTAGTAAGACACACTCCATCCCTTCGTTGGCTATTTTCAGGCATTTCCCCCGCGTGGCGGCAGGAGAAGCCGCTCTCCCCACCCTGACTCCTTGCCCCCAAACGGGAAGTGCAGGCAGCGCGCCCGCGCTCTCCCAGCTTTCAAATCGACAGCCTACCTTTCACTGCATTCCTCTCTCTTTAAAACGTTTTTGTTGTTGCTGTTAGTACATCTGCTCAATTCTAAATGAAGTGAGCTAAGGTCTGTCAGGGTTCTTAGCCGCCAGCAGCAGAAGCCAATCTAACTTGAGACCTTTGTTCTAGTTCATTTATTCTTTGTTTTAGGCATTTTGTAAAACAACAATTACTGGGTTTTGTTTTTTAATCAAAATCTTCAGGTCTCTGTGTTTGAAGGAGCTGAACCCACTCATTCCTTACTGTAATGATTTCTGTGCAGGGCATCTTTCCTTCCATTCTATTTGGTTGAAGCACTTTGGTAGCAGGTGACGCACTTGGCCCTCCCACAGGGGACACCTGTCACTGTCCCACTGCCAGTCCACCCTTCACTCCCCAGGGCTGCCTGGCAGGCACAGCAGGTGGACCCATGCAGGGCTTATGAGGAGCTCGTTTAAAGCAGCGCTGCTCATTGCGCTCCTGCCTCGTTGGGCAGAGCACACGCAAACCAGGGAGTCTCTTCCAGAGAGAAGAGCAGTTCCCTGGAGGTGTTGCCCAGGATCCACAGACCATCAAAAGGGCAGGGAGAAGGGACCTTTATTTGGAAGATGAAGAGAAGTGACATATGCCTCTTAAATGATGGTGGCTTTTGAAAAGTTTACAAATAATTTTAAGTACAACTAACTAATAATAATAAAAAATATAATAACAAGTATTTATTGAGACCAAAATGCCTTTGATTTTATGGACCGAAGATGACCAATAAAAATATAGCTTTACAATCTGGCAGGTCCATTAAATAAGATACATTCACACCTAAAAACATTGGCTGACCATTGCTAGAGACACATATCAAGTACACTAATGAGATTTTTTAAAAACTTAAAAATATATAACCATTTTTTATCATATAGGACTTAATTTAATAGTGCTGAAAGACAGCCAATGTAAAAATTTCTTTTCAGGGGCTAGCTGAATACTTGACTTTAAGAAATATCTTCATATTTTCTTTCACATGCAGTCATCTCTTCTCAGGGAGCTGTTCAGTTAGGTTCTTTTACAGGTCTATACTAACAGCAAAACAAAATAAAATGAGAAAAATTTTCCAATACCTTCAACACTAAAAAGACAACTTAGGGCACTGCTGAATGAACAAACTTGATGCATTATGATTTGGTACTATCAAGAATCAACAGGAAATGAAATTCACTCATTCAGATTCCACCGTTTTGAGTCTCTAGTATTTATTTTCATAGTATAGAATGTTATTAAAATAACAGAAATGAAAATCTATAACCATAGCTTTTTTCCATAAGGTTAATGCACAGAAGTTCAGGAAAGCAGTAAAACAATGGACTGCTGAAAAGTTTAGAAAAATGAAAAAAAAAACCCCAAAATCCCTAGACAGGGGTGTCCAACCTTTTGGCATCTCTGGGCCACATTGGAAGGAGATTTGTCTTGGGCCAAATATTAAATACACAAGCACTAACGAAAACTGATGAGCAAAAAAAAAAAAAGAAAAGGTTTTGAGTAAAGTTACAATTTAATGTCAGGCCGCATGCATACCCATCCTGGGCTGTAGACTGGACATCCCGGCCTGGTGCTTAAAAAGAAATTATCTCTTTCATCAGAATATCAAGTTAGCAGTTAAAATCAATTAGTTCTCAACCTCCTGTGAGCAAAGAAATTACTTTCATCAACAGTTCGGAGAACAGGAAACAGAAGGTCAAAGACACTAATTTTTTTCTGAACAATAAATTAGCCATGGATCTGTGACTAGAACTGAGATCTCAATTTTAGATGTTCTCAGATCAGTAGACTATTTCTGACTGTAAAAGATTCCAATCATACAGAGGAGATTTTTCAGCTCTAAACCATAATGTGAATTTCCAGGCTGCAGTCACGGTATCTTTAAAAGATTACAAGTGACAATTTTCAAGCTTCTTACAGGAACAGTTAGTAAGAGGAAACAAGAACAAAACAACAAAAGATTCTAGAGTGAATGTTCACATTAAGACAGCAGTTAAAGACGAAGTGACATATATTTAAAAGGCAGTCCTCTCATGGACGACGGTGTGGTGACTGCCGTGGAGGGGGACGCACGGGGACTACATGGTAATGACAAAATACAATAGAAAATTACTTAGGAAAAACTGGGAAAAAAATAAAAGGCAGCCCAGACCCTAAAGATAACAGAAAATTATTGCTTTGGAAGACTCCAGGGAACACATCTAGAATGTTTTCTCCAGTATTTTTTTCTCTTATGTATCTGCTTACGAAGAAATGGTTTTTCTATACAATTTTTACCCAACTTTATTATTATTTTCTTATGCTCCAAGATGGGAAGAACAGTTTTGATTTCGGGATTGACTAAACTTGACTATGACTGCTTTGGAGAAAAAACAGAAATGATCTTTGAATATATTTTCAAAATATCAATCTTTTAAATATTATTTAAAAAAATAAAAAATGTCTAATAAATCAGATTTTAAATCTGTGATTATAGTTTTTTTAGCACTTATAACATACACAGAAACTCTAATGTGGAATAGCTTTTGAAAAGTACAAGCAGAGCTAGATGCACTTAACAATTTACCTTGTTTCTAATACTTTTATGCTGGATTGCAACTGCTGTAGACGCCTGTCTGATGCTTCCTCTCTTTTTTGGGCAGACACCATATCCTCTTCCTAGAAAACAAAGAAACTAGAAGTTTATTTTGAGAATGTGAAACTTCAATTCATTGTTCTATGGCACACAGATAATAGTTCACTCTCCAAAATTATCACACTGCAAGAATTTAATACATGTTTAAAGAAGCAGGACCACTTTGGAAACAAATCATACATATATGAAAAAACAGGAGAAAGAACGTCACTGTATAAGATAATCAATAATCAAAACCAGTCATGGCATATAGATTTCTACCAATATTTCAAACTACTGTATTTCTATAGTGCAAGTCTAACAAAACAAGGCTGGGATTTGCATGCGTCCAGTCTGCCTTCAGGATCTGCTCTCCAAACTCGGTCATACTGCATCCACCATAATCACAGGATAGTTCTTTGAGATGGCCACACTTTGAAATATATTTAGGTTTTATTTGTATCATCTTTAAAAACATCTCCTGCCTTCTGGTGCGTTAAACAAGCATTTTTTTATAATACCATTTTAATTCTTCTATAGGCTTTTAACTCTACCTGTTTGTATGATTATTTTAGGGTTGCTCTGTAGATTACAATACACATCTTTATCTTATCCCAATTTATTTAGAGTTTAGTTAATTCACAGAAACATCGGAACCTTGAGACTGGGTGTTTCCATAGACTATCCTGGTGGTTAGTGCTTTGACTGTCCTGTCTCACATCTTCATACTCTATAAATCCACCAAACACTGTGTGAAGTTCTGCTTTAAAATGGTGAAGTCTTTGAAGGTATTAATAAAAGTAAAATATGTCACTGTACGATTTCATATTTACAATTCCTGTTGTTCTTAAGCTCTTCTCTACCGGAGTTGCCATGTGGTGTCACTTCCTTTCAGCTGAAATAATTTTCTTCAGCATTTCTGAAGTACAGCTTTGCTAGTGACAACTTCTTTCAGTTTTTGTTGATCTGAAAATGCTTTTATTTGGCCTTCATTTTTGAAGTACAGTTGCACTGCCCAGAGGATTCTTAGTGAGCGTTTTTATCACCCTCCGCACTTCAGGTATATTATTCCAACGGTGTCTGCTCTTAATGCGAAGCCAGACATTACTCATAGCTGCTCCTGTTTACATTCTACTGTCGCTGCTTTTATGTCTAATTGGTTGTCGTTTGTCATGATGTATCTAAAAGTGATTTTCTTTTGTGTTAATCCTACTTGGGGCTCACTGAAATTCTTAGATCTGTTAATGTTTTCCACCAAATTTTGGAAGTTTTCAGCCATTATTTCTTTAAACATCTTTTCCGTGCCTGCCGCCCCCACCCCTCGCCTTTGCCTGATTAAGTCCAATGGTTGGGCCCACTGAGAGTGAATTTCACTAACTGTCCCTGAGGCCAATAGTTAAACAGTTTCCTGTCTAGTAAGTTTCAGCTGAAAACTGGATAATATAGTTATTTCAAATATTGTAATTTAGCTTCCTAACTGTATGTTTAGAGGGCAAGAAAATGATTAATTCATTTTTCAGCAACCCTGTTTAACGCCTAATCCAAATAGATCAATAATAAAATACACAGAAAAAACTGAGCTACAGACATTCAATTATCTTAGAAATAAGAAAATACCTTCTTTTTCATCTGGTTTTGAAAATGTTCAGTCATTTTAGTTAACTCTTCCACTTTTGCAGCTGCAATTCTCAGATCTGACTTCGTCTGCCTACAACAGAAAGTAAATTAATGCAGTTTTCATATACCATAAAGGATTAAAAAAAGCAGAAAAACATATAAACTTAGTTAAATCAGTACCGATTATCATACACACACACACACGTTTAGGAAGGTCAGTCTGCCAAGGTCAAACCTCTGTAACGGTCGGCTTCCTCATTCCTATTTGAGCAGGTTAATCCAACCTGCCTTCCTGCTGTTGGGCACAAGATCGCTGAGGTGCTCCTGTCGTCAAGCGCAGCGCACCTCTGTAAGAGTTGGCTTCCTCGTTCTATCTCATTTGCCTAGTGATTCTACTTCTAAATTGTCTCTCAACTGTGTAATCCATTTTCACTTCCACCACCCAACCTGGGGCCCCATCATTACTTCCTAGGGCTCTTCCAATAGGCTCCAAACTGATCTCTTCACTCACTGCTGGTCTTCTCGGTACCTTGCCCGCTATAGTGCATTTTATCTGCAGAAAAGGTTACCTAGTGATGGAGGTTCTCGTGTAGTAACAATTTCTGGATTCCCCACTCCTTTGGGCACGCAATCCACATGCCTCTGCGTGGCAGGTAAGGCTAGCCATCATCTGGCCTCTAGGAGCCTCATGCCCTGCTGTTTCCCCGCACGTGATTTATGTTCCAGGTATAACAGACCACTATGTTGCTTATTCTAAAAACACATCCTTATCTAGTTTTTCATGTGTTTGATTGGACTAGCTTCCTCTTTTTTTTATTTGATAACTTCCTCAATCTTCAAGCCTTAGTTCCAAAATCTCAGCTCAAGTCTTCCTTAACATGTCCTAGGCAAAAGACCCTGTAATTCCAGTCCTCATAATACATGTTTTGTTCATTATTAACAGACACTCTTTCATGGAATTCAAAGTTTACAAAAAATGTGGAATTAAGATCATTAAAGGGATCACATTTTGTTAATTAATAAATCCTCATTAGAGAGCACAGTGCCCAGCGCATATTGTAGTAGAAGTAAATATACCATAAATGAATGGAAGAGAATGCAAAAGGACTGGAGGCAGGGTGACAGGTATTTTGCTTGGATCTTGCCTATCCAATTTGATACTCATGTATGGAAATCCTAGAATAATAATTTTGTGAATCTCTCATTTGAAACAGAGTATCTCACATAATTAAAAAAAAAAAATTTCAGGCACTAGCCCTAAGACCTGTGTTTGTAAATCATTAAAGAAAAAGTATTCTGGGAGCATTTAGATTCTTATTTTATGGCTCCTAACACAAAAACCTATGTTTTTTGGGGGAAAACAAGTAGTAGTTTATATATACTTATTCATTTCTACATTGTTCCACAAGATAATTAGAAAAGTAAACAGTTGTTTAAATCTAATTCTGGCATGAACCATTGAAAACTGTCTGGAACGTAAGCCATAAGGTCTGCCCCTCAGGTCTGGCTCTGCTACCGTAAGAGCCACGTGCGCTGTGTCCGTCACTTAGCCTTCCTGAGTCTCAGAACTGCAGCCAAAAAAGAGAGATCAAGACAAATTTTTTCTGCATAGCTCGCAGAATTATCATAAATTTCAAATCAGTTAATTCATATTAAGGCACTTGACAAACTTTATTGCGGTTTTTACAACTGTAAGCTATCAGCAGAACCTGCCCTGATGTTACAGGGCAGGCTGTTACGTCACCAGGAACTGTGTGGCACGCGTGGCTTTACAGCCGGGTGGAGGAGGCTGGGGGATGCTGCCGGTCTGGCCCGGATTCCTGGCCAAGAAATGAGAAGTGGGATTCATGAGGTGCTGCTTGAAGTCTGAATCTCCACAGTCACCCCCAGCCGGGTCTGCTCACTGATGGTTTTCACCTGGATTATCTGGTTAGACAGCTGTTTTAGACTATGTGACAAGAGGGGCAAAAAAAAAAAAAAAAAAAAAAAAAAAAAAGAGACCCTGATGGGAACTCTGGCCTTGAGCTTTCCTGAAGCCAAGATTCGTTGCACACGCATGGGTAGTTCCACCTGGAGACAAAGCAAGTCTTTCTCTGCGTGAACACAGACCCTGGGGCTCTGGGCTGGGGTGTCACTGGGTCCTACGCTTGCCTGTGCCACATGTGAGTGTGCTCTGTGGAGTCCTGGGAGTCCTTTCAAATACTGCAACTCTGAATCTCTGAAGGAACCAACAAAAATAATCCTAATTTTATTGTATGAAGGAACTTCAATAACTATATGTTTATACTATTTTACTTGCAAACGTTTTAGATAGACATTTGCTTGTATACAAATTATATCAAGGTCAAAAATAGTTTTCATTATAGAATAACAAATTTGGTTAAAAATAAACAAGAATAACTAATTAAACAATCTTGATGTCACAACTACCCACGTATTTTATTTTTTACCGCAAAGGAATATTTTAAAAAGCACATTATTTCACTTTTAGGTATCCTTCCTTGTCAAAGAATTTAAAGTGTTGGGGGTATTTCTTTAATGTAATTTTTCATGATTTATAAAAAACAAAGTTTTGCTTTACTAAACAAAGTATAACCAATATAAAATAAAAGACGGGACATAGTCCTATATTTAAATTACAGCATTAACTTGGGACACAAATGAAAATGCTTTAATATCATTACATTCTTTTGAGATTTAACATCAAATACAATGGGTCTACTTTAAGATAAATTTTTACCTGTTTCTTTTGTAGCCCCATATCAAGGAAATTCTAGAAATGTTTATAATAATTCTTTCACACAATAAAAAATGGCAAGATTCAGAAAGAAATAAAATGCAGTTTTTACTTATTTGATATAGAGTAATCTAGTTTTTTTCCTTTCAAGTAAAAGAAAGATGGATCCCTTGGTACTTTAATAAGTACTTCTGTAATTACCCAGTGCTAGAGCCAAGTCAACCATTTATGTTTAAAAACTTTGGAGAATAACCAAACATCATTTTAGACAAAGTTCTGGAATTTTAGGATCATTTCTGCTTTAGGAAACTGATGGTAAACAGGAAAACTGTGGAAATTTTTATTTTAATTTTTTTCTTCTCTCAATCTTTGTGTCCATTTAATGACCAAACCTATTCAAAAGACATGCGAACCAAGAAACTCTAAAAGCAACAGATATTAATGATCCGTGTACTGAGATGTCAAAACTTTAAAATTGAGACTCTTGAGTCTTTAAAAATTTACTTCAGTTATACACAAAGTAGTTCAACATTCTCATTTCCATGTTAGAATACAATTTTCTAATATACTAGTGAAGTTTATACTTTCTGTGCATGAAAGTGAGCTTTTTCATCATTCACACAGAGCCTCTCAGCCTCATCCATTCGCCATATCAGGGGCGGCACCTGACAGAAGCACATCGGTGCTTTTCAGCATCTCTGTTGGTGATTCTGTTGTGCAGCCATTGTCTTGGCTTTTACAGAATAACTATACAATCAACATGCTTATCTTTACAAAAAAAAAGGCAAAACATCATTACAAATATAGTTTTAGAGTCATATAACTTCGAGTATCACTGACAAAGTTATATACTGGAGAGTATATTTTCATTTTTAAGTAGGCTTATGCAACGGACATGCTCAAAAATGTTCATCAAGTTGTGGTCAGTTTAAGAAAACGCAGGGTGAAAGGGTTACAGGCAGAGCGAACTAATGAAAACTGCAGAGGGTATCAGGAAGCACTTGAAGAAATGATTAATTAGCTGGGATGTATCAGTAATAGAAAGGTAGAGGATGAAGGCAGAGAGGAAGGTGGAGGTCAGATCATCTAAGTGATCATCTCAATCAAGGAGAGTCAACCACCAGGGGGATGGAGGATTTTGTTTTAAAGCAGAAAAGGTAACAGTAATTATAAGGAGAAGGAGAGAAAAGTAGGATCAAATCCAAATTGAAAGAAATTCTGAAGAGACTATAGCAAATACACTCTTCTTCCAAGCAACTTCAAAGAAGAGAAAGGAGAAAATATAGAAAACTGAGGAATCATCAGGAGGAGGTCTACATATTTGAGGTCTTGGAAGAACCCCACAAAAAAAGAGACTGAGATTTTAAAAAAGAATGAATGTAACTGATGAAACAAGATATAAGAAAAAAAAACCAGAAGGGATTTGGGGTTGAACAGTACACAGGAAATGGGCATATAGCTTAAGAGAAAGGATGAAATAAGAAAGGGATGCTTCATCTGGCCTAGGACTTACACCAGCAACAGTGCAGTTAAGGCTGATTATCCAGAGCTCGGGAGGGAATGTCTACTGCCCATTTATGACACTAACACCAACTCCCGAATCTACTGGCATCGGCTTTGTAAGTGTTGTGCCTGTCTATCTGCCTGGGACGGCTGTGCATGCAGGTAGCACGGAGGAGAGCACAGACAGGAAGCGCTGTAGAACCTGCACCGCAAGGAGGTCATGTTATCTCCATTCCAGCATGGAGGAGCCTGAAGAGCCCCTGGTAAGCGACCTGCCCGAGTCAACCACGCAGAACCAGAACACAGAATAGGAAATAACAAACGAGAGAACAAAGCTAGAGCAGTTTCAAAGCTAGACTTCAAAGCTTATGCTCTTCATACTTCATACCCTATAGAAGCACATTTTTAGGTAAGGTGTACAAATGTGGAGTTGTTTGCAAAATAAAATTATTATCAATAAAATACACATTTTTGAAATATATCAGTAATCAATTATTAGAGGCAAAACTAAACAATGAAGTTATGGATTTGTTCCTACTCTTGGCCAATATGTTCTGGAAGTAAAGTCTAACATTCTTCTTTCTGTCCTTTAAAGAACAAGAGCAAATGATATAAATATTTCAACATAATATTTGCACTATAAGTATAATAGTGCTTATTGGGCAACTATAAGTAAAATAGTGTGAAGAGATAGAAAAATGACAGCAAAGTCCTATTTCTTCAAACATGTTTTCTACACTCAGAAGACTAGCTGCCAACACATAAGGAACTGTCTGGCAATTCTTATGACGAAGCACATCTGTTCAGGGCCATTTCTCACATGGGACAGTTTCCAAGAAACACTATGAATCAAATACACCAATCCATGAATTCCAGATTTCCATAGCATTCTTAAAATAGAAGACACAATATTATTCAAATCGGAACATGAAACATCTGAGAAAAATCTGTTACATCAGCTGAAATAAAATTATTACCTGGCAGAAGTACATATATTTTGGGAAAAAGATTATATAAAAATTATCGGCACATACAATGTTTTTGAAAAATAAAGTATGCATTTGTAAAAAAGATTAAAAATGAACATTATACAGACTGATTTACATAATTTAGTCATTGTTACATTAAACATAATAGAGCGGTATCAAGAATCACATTGCTATCAAATTGCTCTTATGTTCTTCAATAAAACTACTTATTTAAAAATCCTTTCACTATCACATTTTAAATATTTCCTGGATTTTATTTCACATTTAAATAAAGCATAAACATTAATAAAATACTTAAATGCATCTATAATGCATTCAAACATTGAGATGATTGGTACTAAAAACAGATTTAAAAGTCAGCATAGTTAAACCCTGGATCCATAATGGGAAACACTGAAAATCATTTAATTCACTTTGTAAAACTCCTAATAGTTACATTAAAAATGGCTTTCTCTGGTGTGTTGTTTTGGATATCAAACTACTAACTGGTCACACATTATTGCATAGCTGAAGTATATAAAATATAATTTCTCTAAATAATGACATTCAAAGAAACCGTTTGTCCCCCCCAAGATCAATGACAACGTTCACAAAGAGAAAAACCTACATAAATTATTTAGCTTTGTCCCTCTAATGAAATGCAATTCAATTAACTAATTAACTAACTTAGTTACTCAAAAATATCTTTTGAGCACTTGCTCTGTGTCTAGCGCTGGGCTAGATGATGGCAAGATAAAAATGACTAAATTATGAGCCTTTAAGGATCTTAAAAACTAGTAAAGACAGACTAATTTGTAAAAAATGAAGCATGCTGAAGTGTTAAAATGCTGAGAGACGTTTTTATAGCCTACAGTGGAGGCACAAGGAAGCCATAGCTGGTTCTACCTAGGGAGGAAGGGACTATAAAGATTCAGAAAAAGACTTCTAGACACTTTTCATGTGACACTTGAGTTGAACATTGGAAGTTGAGTGAATATTTATCAGGGAAGGGCAATTTGGGCAGCTTGAACAATGTGAGCAAAATTAGGGCCTGAGGAAATAGTGTGGCTTGTTTGGAAAACTAAGGAAGTTCAGAAAATTGAAGCGGGGGGTGGGGACAAGATCTAAAGTAGCCAGAGGTCAAGTCATAGACGACTTATGTTAGGCTGAGTAACTTGGATTATATTCTACAGGCATTTAGCAGCCCCTGAAGGACAGTGAGGTGATCAGATCTTACTGTAGAAGGATCTCTTTGATGGCGGTATGAAAGAGGAGGGTGGCGAACAAATAAGCCAATCTGGAGGTCACTCAGGGGGTGGCGGGCTGAGCAAAGGCAGTCACGGTACAGTGAGGCCGGAGTCAAGGCTCTGAGTGACGCCTGAAGATCGAGTTGAGACGGAAAAGAATTTAGATGCCTCTCAGTTTTCTGAAGCAGGAGCTGGATGGAGCCATTCACAGACATAAAGATGAGACTGAGGACCTGTGATAGGCAATACGCGCAGCTTAGAGCCTGCTGAGTTTCAGGTGCCTCTGAGCCAGCTGGGTGGAGATAACCAGGAGAATCTTGAGCTAGAAAAATTCTCTGGGGTCTTATCCTTATAGAGGTTGTTAAGCCACAAAAGTGTACATGAAATGAAACGGGGAAAATTAAAATGATCTGAGGCTATCATATCGTACATAAACTTTTTAAAGATAGCTTCTACCCTCAGAGCACACCTGTATAGGTTTAAGTTCTCAAAGCACATGAAATAAGTTGACTGATAAGTTACAGATTCTTTATAAGAAGATAATACCTATGTCTTCTAATAAGATCATTCCACAGTGGCTAAAATAAACATTCTGGTGACGCCACTCTGAGGAGAGGATAACACAGACCCCTAAGCAAATGCTTCAGCCAGTCCTTGTGCGGCACCGCCTTTTACTGAGATAATACTGTTGGTCTCGAAAGATACACAGAGGACACTCTTTTCCTTCAAAGGGTCTACAAGGGAGACGTAAAATCTGAGCAGACACGACTTGAAAGATAATCATCTCCATAACTCAGCTGGACATGTTAGAAACAAATATATATGACAAAAAAGCACCTAAAGAGAAATAGCATAAAACCTGTTTACATGAATAAATGCTGAGTAGAGGCCACAGGGGAGTAAAAACCTGGTGGAATGAATGAGAGAAGTCTTTCGGGAGAAGGCAAGTTTTAACCAGGCTGAGAAAGTTATAAAGTTTCTGATGAACAGAATAATGATCAAAGGTAAAAAGGGAGGAACCAAAACTCTGTCCATGAGTAACAGCAAAATAACTAGTGTGAGCAGTTTGTACATAACTGGAGGGTTGGGAGAACCAGGTGAATGAAGACCCTTAGGAAACAGGCTGAAGACTTTCATCTGCTATGACAGGGCATCACCAGAAACTCTTGAAAAGGAAAACGAGGAAAAGCTTTGATTACAAATTCACATGATTCTAATTTTTTTGTACCATAACATCAGACAACAAACGAAACTAGTATGTTTTCGGTATAAGTACAAACTTAACGCTGGTGTTTAAAGAGTTCCCAATTTAGTTATTCTTGGCATGGCTATACAGGGCAACTCAAACCCTAAATCCTGGTAACGTCAATATGCCCATCATTCAGAATCTGTCAAACTTGAAAGCAACACGCTCTTCCCTGAAAGAAGCATCTGCTTGTCCTTCTGTTCCCTCAAGTCTGTGTCAGGAAAAGCCAGCACGGTTTTATGTATACAGCTCTGAGCTGCACTGGTAAGCTGTGGGCTATTGCCAATAAATATTATGGCAAAATTGCTTGTGGACAATTAAACTTAAGACTTTTTTGGCTTTAGAAAATCACAACTAGCTTTATCAATCTCTAATCTCCATTGATAATCATTGGGCCTGAATGTGCAAAAGCCAAATGAAACTTCTACACAGATGTCACGAAACAATGTACCCACTCACTGTCCTTGTTTAACAAGCAGCTCTCATTCCTGACTTCCACACGGCTGCCAATACTGTCAGAGGACCAGGTACAGAAACTAGATTAGCAATTATGACATGTGAGCTCTAATTTGGTCCTTCCATGAATTTTTGTGCAACCCTGAATAAGAAATAATTTCTGAGCCTTTGGTTCATTTAGGTTTCTTCTATAAAAGTAGAAAGTTAAAGTAAAATGATCATTAAGTATCTTTAGCAATGAAATTCCATGATTCTTCCCCCCTGTCCGTATCCCAATATCACCAAATTCTGCCCATTTTTCCTATACAAAAACATTATCATGCATTTTTTATTTTCTGTTTCCATTATCGTCATATGATTGCAGGTCTTGAGAGACCAATTTTCTTACTCATCTTTCTTCCAGGATCGCCATGCCCTGATTTATACTACTACACCATACATCCTAATATTCTTTTTCCTCTTCCACTCTTTTCTGAACCTCCAGTGCACAGTTAAACTAATCACACTGTTCTTTCCATGACCTGTTATTATTATTAGCTGTGAATGATTGCTTTCCTTTCTGTTTTTCTGTGTATTCTCAATCTCTCTGCCATCCCCCTTACCTTGTGGTTCACGTTGAATTGTGATATATCCTTGAAGATATATAGATATAGATATATGAGTATACACACACATATATATTTGGTAAATGATATACTGCTATTTGCATGTGTTTTTATGTTATAGAGCAAATCTTTTTACCTTTTAACTATGAACCCTGTTTTATAGATCTATGTTGCGGTAACTACATCTTTACATGTAAATATGTGTTTCTAAATGATGCACTACACACGTACTGGACTACACTACTTAATTTTAAGGACCATGAGTGAGAGGAACAAAAAGGGACTATTTTTTTTCTGTCATCTGAAGTTTTTCCTATACTGTACCACAATATATATATGTACAGTATTAAATTGCCTAATTTAAAAAAAACATTTTATTGGCTGCTTTCTCCTCTTCCTCTTCCTGTCTCCCTGTTTCACTCCCCTAACGGTGCTCCCCGGTATTGTATCTAAACAAACTGCACGCTCAGAACACTTTTCTGAGAAAGTCTGCTAATGGGAGAATCCAGATAAAGACACCTGCAGAAAAATTTTATCTACGGAAGCTGATTTAGAGTTGACTCCTGACTAATAGCTTTGATTTCAGTCTCTTCCCATCCCAAAAGATGATACATACAAAAAGTTAATGGCAGAAACTCAAAAGGAAGGAAAAAAACACCCATGGGAAAAATTATGGACTCATCAGTTTCTCCAAAAAATAATAAACACTAAATTAACAAAATTTATTTTTAAAAATACCTAAGTTGTTTTCGGAGTCGCTCGATTTCCACATTCTGTTCAGTTACTGTTTCCAGAAAGTGTTGATTAGTCTGCCACAAGAAAAAAGCAAAAACATTCAGTAACAGAACATTTAAAACTACTTCTTTAAAGATCAACTGCAGGGCATACAAGTAGAGAAATAGAACGGAGCAATGGTAACGAGCCGATGAGCCGAGGGTAGAACAGACCCTGGTGTCTCTCCGCCTCAGCGCTTCAGGGCACCTGCTTCCCTCCGGACTGCGTGTGCCTGCAGCCCGCCCCACCCTGCCTCTGGGCCTCCTCCCTCACCGGGCTGCGCAGGGGACACCGGGGACTACAGAATTCGGGTCCCCAGCTGCTCTGGAAGGGCCTGGAGCAGTGGCTGGAGGGGTCATCCTGTGCCCCACGGTGGGGAGTAACTCTGAGCCTGTGTCTGCACAGGCTGACACAGCGTGTTCGCGGCATGAAGGGTCCGGCACCCACAGTGTCAATCTGCTTACAGTTGAAAACTTTTGTTGGCAGCCTCTGCCCCTTCCCAGTCTCACCCCCCCACACCCCTGCTGGGGCGCTCTGGTATTGTCCCCTAGATAAGCCACCTGCTCTGGAACCCTTTCCTCAGGGTCTGCTTGGCAAGGAAACTAAAGAAAGATGTGAAGCAGTTTTCCAGGAGTAGAACAATTTTTCTGGGGGAACTGATTCTCTTCTGTAAGCACCAGTTTTACCACGATGGTACAAATTTCTTACCCTTCCTTATACACCTTATGTGCAAAGCCACACGGGTGACAGTTGCCTCCTAACCAGTAAGTCCTGATTTCATCCCATCTCATCCCCATGGGTCACACACACGCATCTCTCCAGCAGAAGCCCTGGAGGCAATTTTCACTGCGCTTCTCTCGTACTCTACCCAGTTTCACTCACGTCGCATTTTTAATACAGCACTTCACTTCCCCGTGCCTGGGAGGGCCTCGTCCTGCCGGCATTCATCCCCACGCCCGTGGGGTCGGCTCACTCGAAGGCAGAATTAGCTGTGTCCTTTTTGCATTTTGCTAAAACCTCATCTGTACTTTTACAATGCACACAGCATTATAGTTGAATACTATAATATTTAAAGTTTATGTATTTCTGGTGACGACATGAACCTTTTCTTTTGAGGACTAGCTTGCTGTAGAACTCCCAGGATCTGGCACATGATTTAGGACATTTTAAGGACTTACACCTTTGAGGACTGAATGAATGAATGCGTGAATGCATGTCTTTATGGGACATGAAAGAAAGCCTGGGGATTGCATCTTTATCTTTATCTTCATCTTGGGAAGTAGACTACTGCAGACCAGGACTCAGCGTTCAGTTCACAGATCACAATTTAAGAGACCAACTACCACATTCAGAGGAAGGAGGATAGAATAGTAAGTAGGTAAATTATACCACACCAAAACACTTAAAACAACAAAACCTGGGTGTAACACTGGGCATGAATCAGGAAAGGCATACGGTTATATGCAAATAACTGAAGGGCTGAGTTGAAGAAATGAGCTTGCTCTGTTACTGCAAGAGATAAACCATGTGTCAGCGGGAAGAAATCTGATGAGAGATTTTTAGCTTTCCAATAATCAGAGTTGAAAGAAAAGGCTGTTAGGGGAAGTATAATATCTCTTACAGGGGATATTCAAAGCACAGGCTGAATTACCATCTAACTGAAAAGCATTTAATAGAAGGACGTCTATTTCATTTGGGGTAGTAGATGACCTTTAATAGAATTTCAAAGTCTCCTGTGAAGCTGCTTCAATGGCTTCAGCCCAAACTCGCAATTCCTCTATAGTATCTGTAGGGCACGACTAATGTTTTATTATATATACTGTTTTGGCACTAGTATAAGTAATGTTTGTGCTTTTTTTTTTTTTTTTTTTTTTACTGTTTGAGAGTAACTTAAAGCTAAATGATGTAGAATAATTAGTAGATGTATAAATTGGAATCGTGAATTTTAACAAGCTAGTATTGGTAACACACTTAGCTGGGTAGCAATGCCAGCAGGAACTCAACTGTGCCTGAGACGTGGCCTTGCTGTCTGTGGTCAGCCCCGAATGTGGGAGACTTGTGTACAGAAAGAATCGTAAAGGCCAAAGGAAGCATCTCTTTCAGTCCTCATCTATTTCAGCTCTTTATTCACTGATTATTTCATAGTCTTTCCTGTTTCAACGAGCAGACTGGGGCTCTGGGAATAGATGTACTTTCTCTTGCAACTAGAAAATCTATAATGGTGCAAGCAACTTGGTATGTAACTAACAAATATTTTTGAGTAATTTTATACAGATAAGCAAACCTCAACAAAAGAATATGATTTCAAGAAAGAGAATTTGTTGGAAATGAACTTTTGTTGCATCTATAGTCATAAAAACTAAATATAAACTTGTTCTTTTCGGTACCATTCAGGTCAGGGTGTTTTCCCTTCAGCATATTACTAATGTGCACTGATCTCACAAAAGCTATTTTATTTACTGTGTTTACACTCATCAGTTTATTGTACATCTTTAGAAACCTATTCACGTAATGAGTTTATTTATGTAATCAGGAAACTTTTAAACAGAAGCTGTTTAACGTGTAAAGGGCACTTTTCATCAAGTTGATTTTGACAGACGTTTGCCCTGTGACTAAGGTCTGAACTTTCTTTGAGACGCACAGCATCATTACAACCACGTGGCTCCCTCCCTTTACACTCGGCAGTCTTGTTTGATACTTCGATGCACATTAAGGAAAACTCTTACACTTTAAAATTTCTCTTAACCATTTTCCTTATTTTCACCACAGTATAGTCTTTTATTTGCTCTTTGTAACACAACTCTCTTTTATCCATCTTGTTACTACCTTATCACTTGTGTCCACCATTTAATTTTGGCCTGTAACTCTAAATTCTGTACCTTAGAAATTTTTAATGTATTTTCTGTGATTACTCAAATAGTCTTTTCTCATGACTTCCATCACAAGGGTTTTAGGTTGTTTATAATAAAATAGGGGCTCTGTTGTACAATATACCACAGAATTATGTAATCCCCCCAATGTCACAGGGTGTATCTGAAAGAAAGAAGGAATAATTGTGACATTAAACTACTATTTTTATGTAGAAATAGGATTTCTTAATTATGGAGATCAGTCATTTTGTTAATACTATTTTAAAACCCTAAGAAGTATATTATAAAAAAAAAATTGTAAGCGACTGGAAATTCTAAATGTTAACATAAGTAAAATAGGGTAAAGCTGATTTAGTATTTTTATATGGTTAAAGGAGAAAATTAAACAAATAGAATAAAATGGGGTAACTTACTTTTGATGGCACCACGCCGCACTTAAACACAGACATTTTCATTGGGCACTAACAAGAAGTAACAGAGTAACTGAGTAAAACAGAGAGAGGGGGAGAGCGACTGCCTGGGATGTCACAATCCTGTTACTCAACAATGATGTGAAATAAAACCCCAAGGAGGAAAAGAAAAGGGAAAGGAAAACATCTTAAAGGAAAGAAAAGTGAGAGGAAAAATGGTAAAGAACAGAATTGGGAGGGCCAATTATAGTCGTGTAGGGAAAAGATCACAGGGAAACTTCGGTCCACCCGTCAGTGCTGGTGGCCCGGCAACTATGGCTGGTTCGGAGCGTCCTGTGACTTTTGAGAAACGAGGCTTCTCGCGGACCCGACAGCCCTCCTACTCAGGCCAGCAGCGCCTGAGCCCTTCCCTGGCCGTCACGGTCTAGGTTGCTCTCAGGGGATCCTACCAAGGACCCTACGGGTGTTTTCAAATTAAAATATCTTCCCGATAGATGTTAGCTTTAAATCTCCTGTCATGTTACTAAATGTGAAAGAAATAAAGATAAAAATAAAAGAGTACAACTTACACTTACCTATTTTAATTTCATGCAACGAGTATTTTGTTGTTAATTTACTTTAACTTAAATATTTATAGTGACAATTTCTAGTTTATATAAACAAGTACACTAAATGGAGATTTTCACTTACCATTTCTATGTTCTCATTAGTAACATGAAGCTTCTTTGTCAGTTGCTGAAAACTGTTCAGCTGATCCTACAGTAAAAAAGGTAGAGGATACATAAATCTTGCCTAAGTAGCATTTGGTTTGTAACTCTTACTTAAAATTAAACTAAAGTGAAGTTTAAAATCATTATGTCTAAGTCTAGATAAAATCAGCAGTATTTCTTCTATTATTGTGTGAATTAATAGTTGAAGAAGTAATAAACTTTTAATAAATGACTACAAAATGAAATACATTTACGACATGGAAACTAATGCAGTTATTTCTGTTTTTTGTGAAACCATAATCTAGAAATCAATTCTTTAGTAAATCAACATGCTACAGAAGTCTTTGCCAATATTGGAAAACACATTCAAACCTATTCAAAACCCACAACACAGAACATGGCCCATGAGTTATTGCCCCCTTCCCCACTTTTTAAAATTCTCACAGCTTGAGCGCCACAAGGTTTAAATCGTGTGACTGTCTGTTATACTCCTATTAAACATTACATGTGCGGGTGACAGACAGCTGGGAGGAGCTGTTAATACGTCAGATGACAGAATTAAAGGCTGATCAATAACTGGAAATAAGATCATAGTATTATTTGTGAAGTATTGTGAAAAGAAATTACTGCAATGCTCCAGTGCAAACATCATCTCATTCAGGTGAAAGAAAAAAACTCAAAAGCCTGATGGCTTAGGTGACTGACCCAAATAAGGAAACAACCTTAAAAGAATGTACTTATTTTAGATGTGGTTTCTGTATCTCAGAGGTGAAAGTCTTATGGGTCAGATCACATGGGTTATTTTCAAACCAGGGCACAGAAAGAAAAGTTATTTAGTAAACTGCAAAGCCTCATGTCAGTATTATTATGTCTTCTTTAGGTAGAAATTGCCAATTACAAGCATTGCCTTCTCAGTAGCTACAGAAAAGCCATCCAAGTTGGAATTTCTCTGTAGTTTCCAATGTGCCTAGCAGAAAAAGGACAAATAAAAGGATAAAGGAAGCAGATTTTCCAAAGAAATGGATGATCCTGTGAGATAGGGAATTCCTGTCAACAGAAGTATAAACTGAAATTGATATTCCACTTTGGAAGAGTATAGAATGATTCTTGTTTTGGATAAAAAGTATTTAAGGAACCATTGAGATCCTTTCCTATGGTAAAATTCTATTCTGATTAATTTATGTTAGATAAACTTGCCATCTATTTTAGTGAAAGGTCACATTTAAAGGTGTAAATTTTCATTTTACATAGTGTTGCCATTATAGTTGAGCAGGTTTCTTCATTGGTCGCGATCCATGAACAGTTTTTGTCTCTTTTAAGCCAGGTAGGAAACCAAGAATATAAAAGCTTTAGAAGTCCATTTATACATAATAATCTAATAGCTGCTTCTTCACACTAAATACGGCTTTCACTGCTAATCAAATTATCAAACCCAATGTATAACAGGAAGTGCTTTGATTATCTGTTCAAAAGATTTTTAATCATTAAAGATCTATTTATTGTTAACATAAATGACACCCTAGAAACACAGGCCTCTCTAAAACTGAGTTTTACCAGAATGTGATTTCTTATTGATATAGAAGAAAACCATGATACCCTGGAGCACCTTTTGTTTTTGACTTTCGGCCACATAAACCTGGGTCTCAGTCATGTGTTCTTGGTAAAGTTTCTGCAGCCGGTTCAGCTCCTGAGAAACAGTCTGCCAGAGTTCCACGGCCTGATTTTTTTCCTATGAAACGAAAATATTTGAGAACTCATTAAATTATTAGCAGGCTATGCTAGAGTACAAATTAATCATTCATTTACAGAATAAATTCTCATATATAAAGTCACAAAATTAAAATAGAACTTGTGTGAAGATAGTATAATTGTAATATTAAAAAAAGTCTGTTTTAGAGAGAGGGGAAGGTAGGTACAGAGGGAGAGAAACATCAATGCGAAGGAGAAATATCGATAGGTTGCCTCTCAGATGTACCCCGACTGGAACCGAAGCCACAACCCAGGCGCACGCCCTGACCTGACCGGGAACTGAACTGGCGATCCTTCGCCTTGTGGGATGACACCCCACCAACCGAGCCACACTGTAATATTCACTGTACAGTACAGTCAGGGCTCACTGTAATACTTTTGATGATATGAAGTTGTATTAGTAATTCAGAGAATAAACGGAAGGTGAAAATTTCTTTCCTTGCAATTTTCTTTTTATTTGGATTTTATAGGTAAAATTAAAACTCTTAAATCAGAGATATGGATTAAATCACTCTCCTTCTTCAACAGAGTGTAAGCCTTAGAAATTACTGACAACAAAAACTGCCCCCAGTAAAGTAGAAGACTTGTTGTGATTGTAGAATTAATGTTTATTGTAGAAAATTAGGAAACTACAGCAAAAATGGAGGAGAAAATAAGAATTACCTATAATTTTTACCAACTGACAGTAAATATTGCTAACATCTGATTATAATTTTATAAATGTTGGCCATATTGATGTTTATAAATGTGATTTTGAGGGAAAAATTTGTATTTTTTTCTTTTAACGAAATTGGAAATCATAGAGTGTCCTGTTTGTATTATACTATTTTCACTTGGCATTTATATGAGAATCTTCTCCAGTCATTATTCTTTCAATACAGCAATTCTCAAAGTGGGGTATGGGGATCCTCAAAGTCAAAATTATGTTTGCAGTGAAGTAAATGTATCATTTGCCTTGTTGACTCTCATCTTCTGATGAGAGTATGGTGGCATTTCCCAAAGTTTCTATGATGTGATGTGTGATGCTCTCATCGCCCTGATGGGTACTGGAATGTGTTCTTATGCTCCCATGTTTTAAAAAATGTGTGTTTAAATTTGTAATACAATAAATACTGATATAGACCCTACAAAAACATAAAGCTCTTTGGGGTCCTTAATAATTCTTAAGCATCCTGAAGAGGAGTTCTGCAACCAAAGGGTCTGAGAAACACTGAATGAGCATGTAGAAAGCACTACTTTCTTTTTAGAGAAGTGGAAACCGAAGTTCAGGCCATTGCACAGGGTTCCTCAGCAAGTCAATGGCAGAGTCAGAGAGAAACCTTTGTGGGAAAATTTGTGGTCAATCTGCTTTACCTTTAAATTTTTTTTTTTATAATTTATTGATTTTAGAGAGAGAAGAGAGGGATAGAAAGAGAGATCAATTTATTGTTCCACTTATTTATGTATTCATCGGTTGCTTCTTGTATCAATGTGTGCCCTGACGGGGGATCGAACCCACAACCTTGGCCTATAGGGATGATGCTCTAACCAACCGAGCTACTTGGCTAGGGCTGCTTTTCCCTTTTTGATCGCTCAAACCGGACCTCACCAAATCTTCTGTTGAAAAACCTGATCCAAATGTGCAAAAACTGGGACCAACCAAGATGTAGCTGGAAAGGCAGAGCGAGGAAAGATAAAGATAGGAGGAGAAAAGGGTAAGAAATGGGAGTATGGTTTTAAAAACTATAGTTAAAAAAATATGGTTAAAAAAGAATAAGTAATTTTCAAGTTTTAATAAAATTTAGCACTGGAAATTAGAGCAACAAAACTGCCATGGAGAGATGCTTTTTAGAGACATCTTAATTTTTCTAATTTTGTTTTCTGAAACTACAATTTAGCAGTCTGAAACTACAAACTACTACATATTTCTTCTACATAAACATTTATAAATCCTCCCTGATAACACTAGTCTAGAGCAAAGTAAAAAACATGATTTCCTCATACTTCTCCCTTCTAGCGCCTTTCAAACTCCTTCCCTTTACAGATTAAAAAAAAAAAATCAGTGTTAAATACACACTCCTTATCAAAGTAAATACAACCTATCTGATTAACCTGAAATATCACTTTTATAAGTAAACAATTCCAAAACCAAATTTCCAAGGAATACAAAAATATGACTTTTCATAGATAACTATAAAATCAAAATTGTAATGTAGAGTTTCTATTCCCCATTAATAAATGAGGAAACTGAGGCACACAGCTAGAAAGAAGAATAGGGATTCAAATCCATATATGATATGACAAACCTAGGATATAAAATTGCAAATTAGAATAAAATTTCCTTATGTATAATCTCAAATAATTAGGACTGAAAACAGAATACATACAACATGGCATCCCAAATATTTTAATACCATGGGGGAGGATAAAATAGGAAAGAACATAATTCTAGAAGTATCATTTTAGAATAACATAATTCTATAATCTTTATAAATGGAAGAAAACAAAGAAAAATAAACATAAATTCAGGGAAGTGGATAACTGATGATTTTTCTCTTTAAAAATGTCCTTTGACATTAAAATATTTTTTAAAATAAATTCACGTCACAAGCTTTATGATTCAATTAAAATAGATTTGACAACTAAATTTTTAACAGAGTATTATTTAAAAGTTTTGTTACCTGTTAACTATGTGTAAATTGTAGAAAATCATTTTGACAATTTTTTTATTCTGCTATCATCATTCATAAATAATACTTAACACAGATTTTTAAAAACTCTGTTTATTCAGAATATATTTTAAAAAATAGATATGTCACTCACTTGCTGGACTAGTTGTAACTGTTCCTGAAGATTCTTGACTGTTTCATCATCTATATATATGTCATTTTTCATCTCGGCGCCAAGGGGAAGGGCCTCCAACTGGTTTTCAACAGCTTCTTTTAATTCACTGTGCAGCCTTTGGGACATCGTAATAACACAGTAGTAATCTAAATTCATTTTAGTAACACTAATTACTGTTTCAGGGTTAAATAAACATTTGGGTCAAAAATAATTCTTTACATAAACATTTTTAATTTTCAGAAATTAGAAGTGTCTAATCACCATTCAATACTGTAAGAATAAAATGATTATTTTACAATTTCAAATGCATTAAATCGGCCACAATTCATTCAGGTCTAATTCAGTTTTTCCTAAGAAGTTTTTAAATTTTCAAAAAGGTAAAATTCAGATATTATACTTTAATTGATAAAATAAGACATTCAGAAAAATATTAAAAATGTGATAGTTTTCTAGTAAATTAAATGGAAATGGGTTATTAAATCTTTAGAATTATTTGTTATTTTCCTCATTGTGTTTCACAAAACTTATTTAACATTTTACTCATCTCAGTTAATGATCAGACATTGAAACGGTTGCTAGTTACGAAATCAAGATTATTGTGCTTTTTCAGCACATTCTTACATGGCTTGACCATAATTCTGAAAACCTTAAATTCAACTTAAAATAAATATTAAACTAAGTTACAGATAATCCATACTTTAAAACAACTTAAAAAAAGCATAGAAAGGTACAAATTAAAAGACTGATTGTTTTATTTTAAAATTATATAAACCTAGGTGAAAAAAGCTTTATAGTATCAGAAAAACTTCAAAACAATTCATATAATTATAAGCAGAAAATATTATTTACTATGGACACATTAATAATAAAACTAAAAACTAAATAATACAGTGTTACAAATGCATATATCTATAAAAACTTTTAAACAGAAGAAAATGACAAATACAGAATTCGAGACAGCGTCAGCCTGCTGCAGAGGCGAGAAGGGTGGGCTAGAGAAGGGACGCGTGGGTAGAGGCCCCGTGCGGTGACACAGTAGCTCTTAAGTTGGGTGGTTGCTTGGCAGGTTTTTGTTTTATCAGTATATTTCATAACAATAGTTGCTAACATTTATAAAATGCTCATCATGTACCCTATTTCTTGTTCTTCAGAGATGAAGAAACTACAGTTCAAAGAGGCCAAGTACCTTGTCCAGGGTCACATAGCTACTAACTGATGGTGGCAGGAATCAAACAAGAAATCAGACCCAAGAGACTGTACTTGTAACTATGTAAATATAGTTACACTATATAAATATACTACATAAATATCAAATAACAACAAAATGTATCCAAGACAATCAAGAACCAATGGTTAATTGATACAATACCTTTCATTTTCCTTGATGACGTTTTCAAGCTGTAGTTTCATCTCACCCATGTGCTTCTAAAAGAACAAAATATGGTTTTAGGCATACGTTTCCCAAACAATCAGATCTCCACTGAGTCACCCATTTGCATGCAAGCAATCACATTCTATGACACTAGTCTCCAAATAAGAAATAACTATTCCTTACTTCTAACAAACTCTATTAAATATGAATATTTTAGTGATACACAGAACTTAAAATATTCATTTTGAATAGAATATAAATAAAAATATTTCATATGACACATTACATTGAGAAATGTTTATAAATGTAATTCCTATGATTTGTAGATGTTTACAGAAAAAAGAGATGAAAGACATTCTTCATTTTGTCACTATAACAAATACCAGATGCTCCCTTTACCATGGATATGTATTTTAATTAATTCACCTTCGTTTAGGTGAAGTCTATGTAAGCACTTGCATTTTAAGAAGTAAAATGTTAATGGTGAAAAAGATAATATGTAAAGATCTTCTTTAGTATTATTTCTTTCAGTCTCTGATTCACTACCTTTATTAATTGTCTAAACTCTCTGCACTGTACAAGGTTGCTACAGCAAACCCATGTGGTCACTAACATGCACTTCAGTAGGAAAGAAGGAAAAAAACCGACTAAAATACAAAGAAGAATAAAATAAAAGGGGAATGAGAGGATGAGAGGACGGTTTGATTGATTTCCTCTGAAAGGATAAAGGGATGATGGGATTTCAGAAGGAAAGAAAGGGCATTTCAGGCAGGGAGACGTATAGATCAACACAAGCGCGATCATCGGCTGTCCTGTCGGTAAGAGGGAGTGGGAAGGGAAGCGCATGAAGAAAGCCGAGCAAAATCCAGTTAAAACCAAGAGGCAACCAACTCCTCATCTTCCGTTAGCCTTGACTGGGCCTCTAGGCCGGGGGACAGGGCCACGCAGAGGGAGCCTGGCCCGGAAGGTGCGAAAGGCAATGCTCTCAGCCTCGCCCCCTTCCTGCCACAGGAGCTCAGGGCGGCCTGAACTCGGTAGCAGCCATCTGCGTACCTCGCTGAGGATGGACCTCTGGGCCCCTGCTGTGCCTGAATCACAATGAAACCAAAATGAATGAAGTTACCACCAGATGCCTGAGATCCCACCGTGCACAAGCGATGGCAGTTGGTAGATAACACTAAAAAGACGGGGCAGGTTTTGAGCGCCATGCTAACAAGAGGTCTGGACTTTCCTGCAGCAAGCATCTCCACTTTCTAATTAAAAAAAAACAAAACTGATCTTTAAAAGTTGCAAAATTGTCAGAATATCTTGTAAAGTGTTTTTATTACTGAAATAATTCTTAGGTAGAATCTATATGCATTAGCTAGGACTAAAGGTGGATCACTACAGTCATGCCAAAGATTTTTTTAGTGTAAAATATTTCAAAATACTTAGTAGCTGGAAGGAATCTAAATCTCAGCAGTACCTCTCACATCATCAAATCTCCGCCTATTACTTACATTTACTGGGAAAAAAATCTTTCAGACAGAGAATTATAGCGATACTTTTCTTGCTTTTAAGACGTACTATTTTTTGTCTGGGTCATTAAGATAAATCATAAGTCCTAGTTCTAATCAACAGTATCTGTGTGAGCAACTGTTGTCAGGAGTAGCTCTCAGCATCCTTTATCTCTCTAGAAGTAGCAGCTCTTCTTATCGCAGACCCTTGGGCTGGCAGCTCCCCTCCCGTCGCTGAGTCAGTGCTCTCACTCCCAGGCGGAGGACGCCCCGTGGGAAAGGGAGCGAAACCCCGGGGTAAAGCAGCCAATTAGGGAGACATATAAATCATGAAGGCTATGAAAAATTAAAATTTTAGAACAGTTTAATTTCAAGATAACAAGCTATTCCATTTTATAACAATCAAAACCACATACATCATTATAACAAGCCCAAGACAGTGAATTCAGCAGAAACTTAAAGTACACTAGTCCTAAATAAAAACAAAATGCCATTTGTGCAAAAGAGAGCTTTCTGTTGCTACTGTCAAATAGAAAGACTAAAAGACAATACTGTGGTTGGCTCAAAACTTAAATGACCACAGGCTAAAGAGCACACGTAGCATGGACTAGGAAAACACTTAATGTGATAAAACAGAAACTACAAATTTAATGAAATGTTTGTTTTTGAAATTTGGGTCTACAGAATCATTTTATAAGTTTATAGACATTGATTCTGGAAATGGAAAGAATAAATAATTTCAAATGAAATGGAAAAACTTTATTTTTAGAAGATAAAACATTATATGTTCTTTCAGTAAAGCTATGTATCAAACCATTATTTTATAAATAGGAGATTGTTATGCTAGATGTAATCATCTTGTCCAAATACGCCCTTACATTTATTTACACATCAAAAATTGAGGGCCTACTATGTGCCAGACTTCAGTGCATATGGTAGGCTTTCTTGCTGTCAATGCATGAAAAGAAAAGAAAGAGATACAAAGTCCTTGGTGTCTGCCACATTCATGGCCCCTTTCTGAGGAAATCAGTCTCAAGGGGTTGTTTTTATATAATGTTGTTATACATTCTTCTAGTTGCATTAAATTAACTCAACCCTGCTACTCTTGTCACAACTAAACTGACGCAGAGATTGGCAGCCCAACACGACGATGAGGGTATTAAACCCTAAGAGGTCATCTTGTCATGGTGGGCTTAGCTGGAGACACAAAGCATCTACTGAAGAAATTCTTCGACTGTATGGTTATCCAGTAATCAGAAAGGTCAAAATTTGAAGGGAAAATGAAAAAAAAAATTCAAATCAAAGAAACAGGTCATAAATATTAGGTATACTCTAAAAATGTGGCTAATTGAAATTCAGATAGTATCCCAAACAATAATGTGCTATTATTATTCTAGTTCTCCATGAGCCTGCTGTATGGGACGCGTAATAATAATCTGTCTATATAGACAGCTTCCTCTGTTTCTTCACTCCTCTTTGCTCCTGAAATAAACTCTAATTACTAAGAGGTTTTAGAAACAAGCTGGTAGAGCTTAAGCTTATATTAGAAATGGATCAATAACTCCTAAAATCTGGCCTGGCTGGTGTGGCTCATTGGATTGAGCACCAGCCCATGAAACAAAGCATCGCTGGTTTGATTCCCAGTCAGGACACATGCCTGGGTTGGGGGCCAGGTCCCCAGTTGGGGGTATGCGAGAGGCAACCATACATTGATGTTTTTTTCCCTCTCTCTTTCCCTTCCTCTCTCTCTAAAAATAGACAAACAAACAAACAGAAAAGCTTCTAAAATCTGACAGACATAATATTTGAAATGGGGGAAATAATCCATTCTCAAAATAATGGGAAACAGATGAAATGATGGTAAAGAGAAAGGTCTAAAAAGATGAGAGATGGTTTTGAGTCTTTCTGGGGGAAAAATAAAGATGTAAGCAAATAACAGACAAAGGGGTGCTTCTAAGCATTGAAGAGAAACTCCTGCCAGATAGAGAGCAGGAGCAAGGAAACACTGGATTATACAGCAAACCCAAGATAATCTTCACACACAGACACACAGAGACACCCAAAAACACACACTTAATGAGAGCTAAATATTTTCTTCCTTATCAATGTTTTTAAAAAGAAAAGGAGTCTATTTTACTATTTTTTATAATAAAATATTAGAAAAAGCTTGGTTAACTAGGATGTCATACCTGGTAATATTTTAGCTGCCCATTTAGCTCGTCCAGATGCTTATCATACTCAGTAATGAGAGGGGCTATAAAGCTAAAAAAAAAATACAAGATGAGGTGCATTCGATTCAATTTGGTTTAGTAAATACGTAACTTATGAAATAAATTGTACATCAAAACTTAGACTATTCTTCTTATTTTACCAATAGCAATCAATGAAAAAATCCTTTGCCTTTTTCCTAAACCAGGGTTTCTTAACCTTAGCTCAGTTAATATTTTGTGCTGAATAATTTACTTGTTGTGGGGAGCGGGTCTGTCCTTTGTAGGTTGTTTAGCGGCATCCCCGGCTTCACCCAATAGATCCCAGAAGCACCCTCACCTTCCACAGCTGTGAAAAGCAAAAGTGTTTCCAGACATTGTCAGATATCTGGGGAGGGGTGGGAGGCAGAAGCACCCCAGTTGAGAGCCAGTCTTGGAGACTATAATATGAGTTAGTTTTCTTTTCAGTTCAATGACAGATCATTCAAACGTAACTATTGTATAGAGGACCACAGAATAAACGTTCCTAACACTACAGGAATTATTTTCATAATACTTAAGTATAATTAAGAAAATAATACTTTTCTGGTAACTCAACCTTACCTTTGGTCAATTATTGAGTTTTCTAATATGTCATCTCCCTCTCCTTTGACAGCAGCTTTCTGTGAGAGAGAATACTTATTCTTAAAGGGTTTTCTCAGGTCATTCTAGCCAAAACTGACAGTATTTTAAAATTAAATACAATTAAAATTTTTATAACCTTATAAAATCTATTAATGCAATGAAAAAGGAGGCAAAAAACCCATCTCATTTGATGTTAAAAATGTACTTTGTAAATTTTAACACCCATACATAATAAAACCTCTTGGCATAGTAAAGATAGAAAGAACTTCCTCCAATTGTTAAAAAAAAAAAAAAAGAAAACCTACCCAGAAACCTACTTCAATCACTGTTGTTCACAATGAAACATAAGAAACACTGCATTAAATTCATTATTACAAGGCTGCTTCATCATCTTTGCTAAAATTTAACTGGAACTAGAGGCTCTAGTCAATGCAGCCTGTCACAAGAGCAGGTGGTCAAAGATTTAAAGGTTGAAAAAGAAGATAAAATATTGTTGTTAGGTTGGCCAAAAAGTCCATTACATTTTTTTCCATAAAATAAAAGACACGTTTTTCATTTTCACCAATAACTTTATTGATTTGGGTATTTTGAATATGTCAGCTATGTCCCGCTATTGCCTTCTAGTGGGTAGAGGCCAGGGGTGCTGCTAAGCATCTTCCAATTCATAAGACAGCCAGCCCCACAGCGAGGAGTTATTTGGCCAAAAATGTCAATAGTACAAGAAACCTCAAAAACCACTTGTGACACATTCGATCAGTCACAGCACCTTCTCCACACACTGCACAAATCTTTTTTTTTTTTACTTTTCAATTCCATCTTTATCTTTCTTGAAATAATAAAGCATAATATGCTGAAAATGTTGCATATTTTCTTCCATCTTCAATATTAAAATGGCTGCACAAAAATTCACCAATTTTGATAAGTTAAAAAAAAAACATGCTGATAAGACAGCTGTCACAATATAACCTTACAGAATTATTCTGAATGAAGTTAAAGACAATTAAGCACTACTAGAACCATCATACAGAAAAAATGTAATAGACTTTTGGGTCAACCCAGTATTATTTATAATTTGACCATTTACATAGAATCTACCAATTATTAGAACTAATAAGAGAGTATACTAAGTTACCAGATAATCAACATAAAAAAGTAGCCTTCCCAAATACTAGCAATGATTAGAAATGTAATAGAAAGAAACTCTATTCATTACTGTAACAAAAGGTAGTACTTGAGAAATAAAAACCAAAAAAAAAAAAAAGTTGCAGTATTTTGCTGAAAAATTAACTTGACCGAAGGACATAAAAGAAGACCCGAGTAAACCCAAGAATATTATGTTACAAAGGTGTTTTCTTGTGGGCATACCCAGGGTGGATCTGAGGGCTTCCAGGGTGGGTGTCAGGCTGTTTAAACAGCGACTGTATTGACTTACCCACTGGCAATATTAAGAAAGTTGTTCCATATCACTGTCAACACTTGGATTTGTCTTTCACTTTAGTCACTGGATGTGTAGTAGTATATCACTGCAGTTTTAATTTGTATTTATCTGACAAACAGCAAGGTTGAACACCTTTTTATAAGTTTATTGACCATTGTGAAGTTACATGTTCAAGTTTTTGCCTGCTTTTCTGAGTTTTTTTTGATATTGATTTGAAGAGATTCTTTTTATAACCTGGCATGAGTTTTTCCAAGATTGCAAATATGTTTTACCATTTATAAGTTGCTTTTACTTAATAGTCTTTTAAAAAATTCTTTCATTTTGACTTAGTTTATTTTATGTCATTTTATTTATGATTACTGTTTTTTGTGTCCTTTTGAAGACATGTCTACTGCAAATTGAGAGATTTGTTCCCATAAATTTTTTTCTAAAAGCTTTGTTATTTTACCTTACACATTTAGATACACAATCAATCCAGAAGTGACTTTTGAGAATAGCATGCGTAAGAATCAAGATTAATTTTTTTTTTCTAAACGGAAATCTGACATGTGTAGAGCTATTTCTGAACTCTCTTCTGTTCAACTGGTTTACTTCTCTATCCTTAGTGAATATCACACTGTCTTATTAGAGCTTTACAGTAAGTCTTGACATCTGCTAGTGCTGTTCTCCAGCTTTGTTATTCTTAAGATTGCCTTAGCTCTTCTTAGCCTTTTGCTTATAAATTTTGGAAACAGCTTCAGAAGTTTGAAAAAAAAATCCTAGTACCATTTTGATTGAGATTTTATTGAATCGAATTAATAAGTCTTACAATGTGAACATAGTACATCCTTACATTATTTCATTTTCCTTAACTTTTTCAATATTTTATTGTTTTCAAGCCTTACACACTTCTCATTATCACTATTCCTAAAGCTTTAATGTTTTTCATGCTATTATAAGTAGCATCACTATTTAAATTTCATTGTCAATTTGACTATTGCTACTTACAGAAATGAAATTAAACTTGCAATTTTGCCTTGTATTCAAAGAGACGGCTAAATTAATTTATTAAGTCTGACAATTTAAAATCTGTTTTCTTTGGATTTTCTACATATACAATCTTATTTTCTGCAAATAATGATAGAGTTACTTCCTCTTTCCCAGTTTTTATGTCATCTTGCTCAGACGTTAGCATGATATTGAGTAAAAGTGATTCTAGCATGCACCCATGGCTCATTTCCATTCTCAGGGAGAAAACATTCAACTTTTCACCATCAAGGACAATGCATATTTAGTTTTTTGTAGCTAGTCTTTCAAATTGAAGAAGTTTCTCTCTATTCCTAGTTTGTTGAACATTTTTACCATCCTAAGGAATTGGACTTTATCAATTATTTTCTAGATCTCTTGAGAGACATTTGTTCCTTCTTTTTCCTGCCATTATGGTGATTTACACTGATTTATTTTCAAATCTTAAACCACCTTTATCTTACTCTTATTTACCTCCCCTCCTACTGTTACAAGCCATGCAGGGAAGAGTGAGACTGCGAGGAGTGGAGTCTTGAGACAGCCACATGTTCTGAAAAGACAACAGACTACAGGGGGTACCTAGGCCGCAACATGACACTGCCATTAAAAAGAAGAGACAGGAAAGAAGATACAATTGTATGATGACAATAACAGTACATGGAAGAGAAGAACGTATACTTTCTGAGAATTAAAGAAGCTATAATTTCACTATGGAGTACCCCATGAAGTAAGGGAAGACATGTCCCTGCTTGGTACATTACCATTAGGCTTTAACGAATTATAACCACAATGCATAATGCAGGTACATCTAAAGAGCCACCTAGAGTCACTGGTTTATCTGGCACAATCATCTTTCATAATCACATCAGCCATAGCATCCAGTAGATATGATGCAACACACCACGCCCAGAAGTCTTCTCAGGCTTTAAAGTCAGTCTTATGTTTGAATCCTCCCTTCAGGAATACTTTAGAAGATACGAAAGAGAAGCAAAAGAACCTAAGAATCAGACCAAGGTTTAGATACCATTGGTCTCTAAAAAGATGATGAAGATTATAGTTTATGAAAGATTCTCTGTTGCCTAAATGCTAATAGTTCTTAGTTAAATGTGCATAACAAAATAACGTAAGAAAAATAATATGATTAACACAGTGAATAGTGGATGGATAATTTCAAGACCCTCGGACTCTGAGTCTGGCCTTTGGAAATGAAAACAAAGAGCAGTAGCTAAATGTTGAGTATACGTTGGGGTAAAAAAAAATACCCATGAGGATAAGTATGCTCAAGTCAACCAAACTATTCTTTTTTAATACTTTAAAAATAACTTTTTTTAATACCTTAAAAACAATTTCAGTTTTAATTACAAGATTCACTTACGTTGAAAGCAAAACACTTCCTTTATAATTCAGTAAACAGCTATCACTAATCTAGGAGCAATAGCTTTTCTTTTAATATTCTGTAACTCAGACTCCACCAATAGGTATACCTTATCAGTTAAAAAAATTTAAACACTATATTTATATAAAAACATACACCCAAGGAAAAGATATATTAAAAACATTGTCATATATTGTTTGCTATTCTGAGTTGGTCTGCACTTCTGTCATTATGAGAACCCAGGGAGTCAAAGTTTACAACTGGCTGTATCCTGAAGAACAATTTTAGAATGTTTCAAAACAATGATGAATTCTCATTTTAAAATACAGACATTTAAACATCATGCGTAATATGTAAGCTCCAACCCTGAAAAAAAGGGCAATTTCTATGGTCAAAGAATTTACATTCGTCAAGCAAAAACAAGCTTTCCTCCTTATAAGAATCAAAATTGCAAGTAAAATCTCAAAGTGCTGTAGGCAACTTCACATGAAGATAGTCCACAGTAGAATTTATTTTGATTCATGTTTATGTAGCTATATTTACAACCAAAATGAACCAGTTTGTTAGACCTTAATGAATTTGCATACCTGTACTGTTGAATATTTGGAAGTATCCAGTTGGTATGGCCTAAGAATTTCATTTAGTCTTTGATCTGAAAAATAAAAAGAAAAGAAAAACAAACTTGTAGTTCATTGGGTAATGTTCAATTTTTAAAAACTAGAAATAAGTTATTATTTGATATAGCCAACTCAAAACTGGAGTCTCCACTGCTTCTCAAAATAAAATGAATCATCAATTTTAACATACCACCTTAGAATAGGGCTCCCCCTTTTCTTTTTAAGATTTTATTCATTCATTTATTTTTAGAGAGAGGAGAAGAGAGGAAGAGAGGGAGAGAAACATCAATGTGTGGTTACTTCTCGTGCACCCCCTACTGGGGACCTGGCCCGCAACCCAGGCATGTGCCCTGACAGGGAATCAAACCAGGGACCCTTTGGTTCACAGGCCAGCACTCAATCCACTGAGCCACATCTGCCAGGGCTGGGCCCTTTCTACACACCTAAACCAACTATTATCAAAGGGAAAAAGAACAGCTGCTAAGAACTAATTTTTCTGATCTCAAAAATTTTAATTTTCTGTCTCTCCTAGCTTTCTCTTCAGGTTAGCAGAAGTCAAAAAGTATTCTGCACATTTATTTTGAAATTTTTGCTACTCAAAGTAAAAAGAGTTGGAAAGATTAGCTGTAGCCATATTCTTTAGAATTGTTAAAATCTGCTGAAATTCTTTTCCAGGAAAAACCCCCACACTGAGGAGAAACTGCAGGATGAACAATCCAAAGTAAGCAGGAGTGGGCAGGAGACAATGGAAAAGGAGGTCCAGAATAAAGCCAAGCGCCCTCAGTAAGTATTGTACAAGATGATATTTTTGATTTACAGCAGAACGTGGCACCCGATAAATGCTCAGTACTCCTTTCGAGTACCCAGAACATTTCCCAGTACCCAGTACATTTATAACTGAAATGGGGCAAGTCTCAACAACTTTCAAAAGACTGAAATCAAGGACAGCATGTTAAATAGCCCAATTAAACTGCAATAGAGAACCAAAAAGTAAAGGGAAAATCTCCACAAACTCTGAAGTTGAAAAATTACTTATCAATAACCCACAGGTCTCAGGAGAAATTACAAAACAAATCTGAAAGTACTGTGAACTGAATGGTAGTGAATATGTAATACTTTGAAACCTGCTTAATGAGAAATCTATAACTTTAATTGCATATACCAGAAGAAAAGGCTGAGGTCAATGAACTACACATCCATCCCCAAAAGTTAGAAAAAGAGCAGCAAATTAAACCCAGGAGAGTGAAGTGAAGGAAATCACAAAGATTGGTCACTCCCAAAAAGTAACAGAAAATATGCACATGAAAAGAGAATCAACAAACACAATCATCTCAAAAGTTATAGAAAAAGCATCTGATGAAATTCAAGATATATTCACGATAAAGCTTTAGGAATGTAGGGCTACGGGGGAATTCCTTAATATAATGGGTCCCTCCATAAACACACAACAAACATCATAGCTAAGGGTGGAAATGTTAAAAATTTTCCATTGGCAATTGGAAATGACAAAAGATAAATTCTTTTGAGATGTAGTCGTACTCTACTGGAGGTCTAAGTTAACACAATAAGGAAAGTAAAAGGAACAAAAGGTATAAAGACTTAAAAAGTTGTCTTTATATTTACAGTGTGTATGTGGTAAATGGAAAAGAACACAAACATACATTCTTAGAATCAATAATTACATTTTAGCAAGGCTGTTGGATAGAAGTCAATATACAAAAAGTAATTAGATTTCTATATACTGGCAACATAAAGTTAGAAAATAAAAGATATCATTTAAAGTATAATAAAAATATTAATATCTAGAAATAAATCTAGCAGAAGATATGTAAGACTCTTGCAGAGCAAACCAGGAAACATTTAGGAGATAAAGACAAGTGGAAAGATACCTATGGTTTACAGGCGTCAGCACCATCAAAATGTCAATTCTCGCCAAATTCATCTCTAGGTTCAATGCAATCTCAATTAATAACCCCAAAGGGGATTTTTCAGAAATTTAAAAGTCGATTCTAAAATATAGATTGAAATGAAATGAGAATAGCTAAGACTTTTCTGTAAGATAATAACAGGGGAACACTTGATGTACCAGCTATCAATATTTACTACAAAACTACAGTAATTTAGGTAGTATGATCATCATATAAGAATAAACAAAATTGACCAATGGAGGAGAATGCAGAAATATATTCATGTATCTATGGGCACTTGAATTACGATCAAAGTGGCACTGCAGAGCAGAGCGGGAGAAAGAATAATCTTTTTGTAAGTGGTTCTGGGTCAATTGGATATCCTCATGGAAAAGAACAAAACATCATCCATAAAAATCAATTCTTGGTGAAATGAAGATCAACTTGTGCTAAACAATAAACTCTAGAAGAGAACAAAGAGAATACCTTTATAACCTTAGGGTAGGGAAAGGTTTTAAAATCAGAACACAGAAAGCACTGCCCATAAAAGAAAAAACTGATAAACTGCACCACATTAACATTAAGTAGTTCTGTTTATCAAAATGAGACTGTTAAAAGAGTAAAAATGCAAGCTGTAAACATAGAGAAGATATTTCTAACACATGTAACTGACAAAGGGCTTATATCTAGAATATACAGAAAAAAAATTCCACCAACTAAAAGGTAGACAACACTATAGAAAAGTGGCAATATGACTTGAATAGGCACTTCACAAAAAGGTTACCTGGATGGCCAATAAACATAGAAAAGCTGCCCAACTTATTAGGCACCAGGAAAATACAGACTAAAGTTACAATAAAATAAAGACAAAATTAAAAAACAAATGTTGGTGACAATGTGGAACAAAGAAAGTAAAGAGGGAGTGTAAGTTAGTACAACTTTAAAATTAAACATAATTCCTAGGAAGAAAACCAACCAAAATATGTGTGCTTGTGTACCACGGGTCATGACCAAAACAGGTTGATAGCCTTTATTGATAAGCATTATTCTCAATGGCCCTGACCAGTGTGGCTCTGTTGGCTGGCATTGCTCTGCAAAGTGAAAGGTCACCAGTTCGATTACTAGTCAGGGCACAGGCCTGGGTTGTGAATATGGTCCTCAGTCCAGATGGGAACATGGATGTTTTTCTCCCTCTCTTTCTCCTTCCCTGCCTCTCTCTCTAAAAATAAATAAATAAATAAAATTTAAAAAAAAAAGAAAAAGGAAAATTGGTAAACATGATACATTGAAAAACTAGAATGCTCTACAGGAATGAGATAAAGTACACCTATATGCAAGGATATAGATAAATCTCAAAACTATAATGTTGAATGAAAGAAGCCAAATACACACGGACACACAGTTTGTGGTTTCATTTATGTCAAGTTCAGACACAGGTACTAGTGAACTTTAGCTGAAAATTAAAGATATGGTTATCTTCAATTGTCTTTAAGGAGGAGATTATGATGACAAGGGGATTTGCTTCTGGGGTCCCAGCAATCTTGACCTGGGTTGTGATTACCTGAGGTTTGAATTTTGTAATAATTTACTTAGTTTTATGTTTGTTTTCTTTGCTTGTCATATGGAAGCAAATATTGCCCTGGTCAGTGGGGCTCAGTTGGTCGGAACAATGGTTCTGCAACCAGTTGGGGCCCAGGCCGGGGCTGTGCGTTCAGTTCATGGTCTGGGTGCTATGAGTAGAGACCAGTCCATGCTTGTCTCACACTGATGTTTCTCTCCATCCCTTCCTCTCTCTTTAAAAGCAATGAAAAGATGTCCTTGGGTGAGGATAAAAACATTTTTTTTAAACAAACTTCAAGAAAATAAAATTTAACGATATATAAAAAAGATAAGACTTCAAGACCAAGAGGCGTTTATCCTCCAAAAAGAAAGGAGGCTTAATATTTGAAATTTAATCACCGTAAATCATCCTAGTAAACTAAAAATGAAAACATTTTATCTCATAAATGCAGACAAATCATTTGAAAAAAATCTCACACCCATTCTGACAAAAACTCTCAAAAAACTAGGAATAGAAAGGAACATCCTCAACCTATTAAGAACATCAATGAAAAACCTACAGCTACTATCATAATTTTGAAAGACAGATGTTTTCTCCCTGAAACTAGAAACAAGACAAGGATGACCACTCCACTGTACTGGAGGTTCTAGTCAGTACAAGGAGGCAAGAAAAGGAAATGAAAGGCATTCAAATTGGAAAGGAAGAAGTAAAACTGTCTTCACAAGATAAAAACATTGTCTATGTAGGAAATCTAATGGATTTTACAAAAACCTACTAGAACTAATAAGTGAGTTAGAAAGGTTGCAGGGTACAATTGCCCCCCCCCAAAAAGACATTTCTATATAGTAGCAATGATAAATAAAAAAAATGAGAGTAAAGAAATAATACCATTTACAACAGCATCAAAAACAGCAATACATAGGGATAAATCTGACAAAAGATGCACAAAACCTATGTACTAAAACTGTCAAATATTGTTGAGAGAAATTAATGAGAAGATATATGAATGGATATATACCTTTTCATTGATCAGAGAACTCAATATCATTAAGATATACATTCTACACAAATTGATCAATAAATTCAATGCAATGCCTATCAAAATCCAAGCATTTTTTTTTTGTTGAAATTGATAAGCTGCTTCTAAAATTTATATGGAAGTGCAAAGGACCTAGGATAGCCAAAACAACGCCAAAAAAGAACAAATCTGGAAGGCAAAAAACTATGTGATTTTAGGACATTATAAAACTTCATACACATCAATGGAACAGCATAGAGTCCAAAAATGAATCTACACAAATATAGACAAGTGGTTTTTGTTTTAAAAGCTTTCATGTATTTATTTTTAGAGAGAGGGGCAGGGAGGGAAAAAGGAGAGAAATATCAATGTGTGCCCTTTTGTGTGCCCCCGCACCCCCAGGGACCCAGCCCAAACCCAGGCATGTGCCCTGGCTGGGAATCAAACTGGAGACCCTTTGATTTGCAGGCTGGCACTCAGTCCACCAAGCCACACCAGACAGAGCTAGACAACTGGTTTTTAACAGAGGCGCAAAGGTCTCCAATGGAGATAGGACACCTTTTTCAATTGAGCATCTATATGCAAAAAAGTGAGCCTCGACCTTTACCCTCCACCTGTACAAAATTTAACTCAAAATGGACCACAGATCTAAAAGTTCAACTTAAAACTACAAAACTTCTAGCAGAAAACATAAAAGAAAATCTTTGCCACCTTGGGTTATGCAAAGGTTTCTGAGATAGGACACAGATCTACAAAAAACCCCAAAGTGATGAATTGAACTCCATCAAAATTAGGAAGGTCTGCTCTGTGAAGGACACTATTAAGAGGATGAACGAAAACAATGAGTCGATCTGCACTGTCCATAATCCCCGCTACAAGAATGAATTCTCCATTTCTTGGCTTGATATCAGGTCCCTCTTTGAAGGGGTCCCTAAGAACTATCAGATCTCCCTTCTCAGATGGAGGTGGAAGACTGGTGTACCGCAAATATGCCAGAAGTTTACTAGAAGACTGGGTAGGTGTGGAATCGGTGGTGGTTATGATGTATAAAGCTGATGGTTTATCATAAAGAGGCAGTGTCATGTGGCATTGCCAGGTCAAAAGCACCAAATCTAAATGGAACAAATGAAAAGAGGCAATCAAGATGAACAGAAGCCAAGGTAGAAAAAGTCAGAGGTAGTTGTGAGAAGGGCAAGTTACCTAGGTTTACCCAGCTGGTGGTTAGGTGGTTGGTCTCATAGGGAGACCTACAGCTAAAGGAAAAAAGTGGGGGCGGTCATCAACACCCACCACCGATTCTTCCCTCTTCATGCAAACAACTTCCTCAACACGCACCGTTATGTCTGACCTCTGAGCCTTGCTGCTCCTGCCCTGTCCGAGACTCCCTTCTGCCACTCAACTTGGCTTCCAGCAAACGGCCACTTCCCCCCCGCTGCAGCAATAATTTACTATGCTTCTACTGCCCTAGTCATTTTTCTCTGGTTTTTTTTTTTTTTTTACTTCAATTTTATATAAGAATTCGGGCTGGCTCGTTCCCACAAAACCCACAGTTTCTGACGGCCTCGGGTACTCTCCCCGTCCAGCTGGACGCGCTCACAGCCCGCCTCATTCCCATGCCTCTCCGGCGCTGTTCAGCTAGCCCTCCATATGCAGTGGGGGATGACCCCACATCACACCTAAGAAACAATGCTAATGTTAAAGTATCATTATTGTGTCATTGATGATTTTAGATAATATATACTGCGCACTTCCTTTGTGCTAGATACCATGTTGAATGCTCTATTTGCATCATCTTGTTTAATCCTCAGAACAATCCCATGAAGGTTGTTGTGCTATTTATACCCATTTTACAACAAGAGAACTGAGGCACAGGGTTGCTAAGTGACGTACCCAAGGTCAAAGGCCTGGAAAGAGCATGGGCTAAGGTGCAGGTCCAGACAGATTGCATCCACAGGCTGAGTTCTTCGCCATTGGTCTATAAAGCTTCCAGATGGAACCCACCATTTTTTTCCCTTATCTTCCCTGTTGTTCAAGCCAAAAACCCAGTCGCCCTCTACCTCTCTCTCCCCAATCCCCTAATCTCCATCCTCACTCTACCAACCTTAGTTCCTGCTTATCGAGATGCCAGTCGCCTAGCTGCGCAGCGCTGTACTGCAGCCCCCTTTGCCCTGGGCTTTCCACATCACAAGCTGGTCATGTCATTCCCAAGAGATTTCTTTTCTGAGGGTCCTGTAACCTGTGCCATGGCCCAAACTCCTCCACACACAGCTGGAAAGGCCCTTCAGCGCCTTGCCCCCTTTGTCCCTTCAGCTGCACTTGTCATTTCTCTGTATAAACCATATTCCATCCAAACCAACCTCCTTGCAAGTCATCAACTAAGCACAGACCTAATCCCCTCGATGTTGCAAATACTGTAAGTTCATATTAGTATTTCGAATTTCAGCCCAATGGCACCTTCCTTGACCACAGTTAATGATAAGTGTGTACTAGCTAATATTTGCTTATCACTATGTTTCAGATATTATTCTAAATCCTTTACATATTTCAATACTAATTTAATTATGCCAACAACCCTACGAAGAGATTCAGCAAAGGAGTTAGCAGTTGCTGCCGCTTCAGCGTATTTATGGATTTATATATTTCACTTCTTGAATTAAATCCTGGAGAGTGGCATTGTCCTCTTCATCTTGGAAGCAGCTCTGCTTGTATAGCATTGACACTTAACTGGAAAAAGAAGGATCTCAAGAAATATTCTCGAACAAATGGCCGGAGCTGTGCCTCTAGGCTCTAACTGCAGACTCGAACCCTCTTCCTGGCACTGCCCTCGAATTTCCCCAGAGTGTGCAAGAAGCAGAACAAACGTGTTTAGTGCCTATAGCAAAGTCCTGAAGGAACATACAAGTGTTTACCAAAAGGTTCTGCTTAAGCATATACACATCCTCGTATATTCCACCAAGCTTTTTCTGCAGCAGATTTAAGTTTTCACAAATTTCCATGCACTCAACGGGCATTCACAAAATAGTAACTGGTCAATGGTGGCATTAAATATTAAGTATGAGAATTCTCAATAAAGGAATACGGAGCTTACTTTTCTCTCCCAGAGGGTCGCTTTCTGTGGCCATTTCGATAAAATGAGTTTGGCCCTTTACCGCCTTGACTTTCCTCGAAGAGACCCAGAACTCGCTGTGCGGGAAAACAAGGCGACCGCGACTCTCGGGAGGCTGCCCAGTGGTGCAATCGGCATCCTAGTCCGGCGGCATCCGCAGGGGCTGCGCCTCCTGCTCCCGAGTCCCAGCCGAGCCCCTCGCTCCGGCGAGAGACTTCCGATTTCAGGTTTGCTGGGGACCTGCCAAGTGCATTGTGATCCCCATTTACACGAATCCCAGCCGGGTGAGTCTGGGACGCGGGCGGATGTAGACGTCTCGCGGGTCACTCGAGGTCCTGTCGGGCCACCTTGGAGAGCTCCGAGGAAGCCAGCGGCCAGCCTGGCGGCAGCGTCCTTAGCAAAGTGAGTGGCGACTTTAGGATGGCCGGGGCTAGCCGTGCAAGTCCGCTCGGCCCGCCCTGCGACTTTGAAACCGGTGCCCCGACCGCTCCTTGGAGACGGTGACGCCAGCTGCGTCATCGCGCAGGCATCAGCACTTACGCCATCACGCTTCCTAGCGTCCTCGCACGCTATTGGCTATCTGTCAAACAGCCAGCGGAGCTGGGAACGTAAATGACAACTAGCTGAGCCAGCAAAGTGGCAGCGGGAAAGCTGGCGAGCCTGTGTGTTCAGGCGGCGGAACCCTGCTGCTTTTTTGTTTGATTTTTTTTTTTAAAGAAATCCCCCCAAATGTACACCTAAATAGGTCATTAAATCCATGTTTCCAATTCCCCAGTACCTTTGATACCTAGCCCTCCTGGAGTGGGAGAACCCGTTCCCCAAAGCAGGTGGGTGGAAAGGCTCTAGGGTTCTGCGTCGGGGCTGAAACCCAGACTGGCGCCTTCGGAGGTCACCACCAACGCTGACCCTCTGGAGGATTTCTGAGTAAGGACTCGGTGATCTCCCGACCCCAAGGACCGTTGTGCCCTGCGCATATCTTTGGGGAAAGGAGACAGTTGTTTAAATATTTAACTGTGTGGCAATGAGGCATGTAGTTAGAAGTTCCCCGGAAGTCCTGCGAATTCAGCAGTTGTTTCTTCACAGATAACTTTGCTTCCATTAAAACATAAAATAAAGGAAAGACAGAAGTTTTGTTTTTGCAAGAAAAGAATTAGGCAAAACTTTACATTTATGGATGTATTACTATTCCCATTATTAAAAATTGACTTTGGATTTAACACTCGTCTTTTTTTTTCCCAACAGTTACCATTGGAATAAATTTCAATGCTGACAATAAAAATGTTAACTTGAAGCTGGCCAATAGTTATAGCGCTTTTTAATAGACTGTGTTTTTACGGAAGCAGTTTCACTAAACAGATATTTCATAGATGTAGCTCAGTTTAGCTTTCTCTTTCACAGTTGAATTTTGTTGTCCTATATTCAATATGATATATACACGAAGTAATGTTAGCAGAATGTATTTAGAAATTTTAAAAAATTGCTCAACGGTGTCCAATTAGGTATTTGAAATTCTGTCCTGGGCTTTCTCTGTACTCACTATTAGGAGAACAAGATGGTCCCTTCCTCTAAAAATTGACTGTTAAATATGGAGGTGTATCTAATAATCATACATAAGTTTAATTTAGCTTTGAGTCAGTGAAGATTGAACTTGATTTGGTTTTGTTTGTTGGAAAGAGGAAAGGAGTGTGCAAGTGCCAACTCTTCTTTCAAAAGTCAGCGTATGACTTTTTCTTCATGAACTTCTCCTTAACTCCTGAAGACTTGCTTGTGCCTTCTCCTACATTCGAACCTTGTATATTATCATATTGTGGTTTAAGTTGGCATTAAACAAGTAGTTAGAAACTTGAGTCTACATTTACACTAAAAGTTGGTAAGATCCATTAGTGTTGGTGAGAGCGAAGAGCGCCTCCTGGGTACATTGAATCCTATGTAGAAACAGTAAGTCCACAGTTTCTTGGGTGAAGGAGACACTAACTGAAGGAAAGAGGATGATAAATGCTGAAACTGCTAGGATAGTTAGGACAGAAGTAACGAGAACCATACTGTATATTTCTAGAACACTTAACCATATTTTATGATCTCAAAGCTCAGACTCTCCTCTCTCACAGGCTAGTTTTCTATAAGATAACCAGTTCAGTTCATAGAGCACCAATAATACCTACTGGCACAAACTTTGAAATGAATTTATTGTATGAACTGGCATGTAAGAAGTAGAACAATAGGAAGATTTTTTTTAGAAAAAGATTGTAATTAGTGAGGATTATGGGACTGAAAATATCTTTTATATTCATGTAACTTAGTGAAACATTAAAAATTTCAGCAGAAATCAAGTTTAAATTCAATATATGAATATTCTATAACTTTAAAAAATGAAACTGTAAAAAGGTGACGTTTAGTCAAACTTTTACTCCTTTGGTTTTCATTCTGTAATTTGTATGGAGCAATACAGAACTGCCCCATATTGCAGAAAGGGTCAAAATATAAAGCCACTTAAAAATCTACTTTTTCTTTGTTGCCAAATACAGCCGCTGCTATTTCCTTTTAAGAAAATGCTCATACCAATCAGCCAACGAACACTGTAGGACTTTTACTTCTCACTGCTGCTTAAATCACACACATAATACTCTTCATTAAGCTGGACAGCTCACTACGCTTACCTGTCATTGTTTTCTCCCCTTGGGGACACCACTATAACCCTAACTGCCCCCGCCCCAAGCAAAACTGGTGAAGATACAGAATTCAAAGCCCTACTAGACCTTTTTCAAGAGAAGCTGTGACCTGTGTGGAGTTTACATGGGCTTCTTGATGGAAGAAAGCTGACCTGTTTAGTATTTGTGCATGTCACTAAAATGGCAGCTGAAAGTGGTGTATCTGCTATTGTGAGGTCAATGCTCATGTTTTAAATGAAAAAAATAAAAACTTGATTGTGCTATGTTTACAAGATTTCTGGAAAGGTAAAGAAAAACCCTTTCTATGACTCGCACAACTTAAAAGTGCCCAACACTCAGGTGTGTGCTTGTGGTCGAGCTGCTTTTGCCTTATTCTAAATGGTTTGAGGAAGAAAAAGATAACCACTTCAGAAACATGTAGTATTAATAATTTGAAGAAAGCAATATTCTCTTTAAGCAAACCTATGTACTTTAACAATAAACAGGTAACCTTTTTGGAATGCTATGTGCCCAGCACTGTTCTAAATAATGTGTATACACAGTATAATGATATAGGTGTATCTCCCAATTTAATCCTTACAAAAACCTTTTAAAGTAGGCGCTATTTTAAAATTCTTTTTTAATAACTTGCCAGTGATCACAGTTGGAAAGTGCCTGACCTGGGCTTTGAAGCCCTGCAGTGTGGTCCCATTGTCTTCAGCCACTATGGATGTGCCTCTTGGCAGAGTAATGTAACTTACAGCTACGGTAGTATTATTTATAGCAGGTACAATATAATTTCCAGGTTTGGCTTATATAACCTGTTAGCCTTTGGTTGCATTTAGTGAATTATCACCGTACACGTTCTATTTTAATCTTGAGTTTACAGCTGATTTTCAAATTGTTGCATGAGATTTGTATTGCTGAGTTACTTTTCTTTCTCCTAGAAAACCGCTCGCACCTCAGTAAAATGATTAAACGTCTTCGGACGGTCACTGGCGGTCCTTCAACCTTTTTCTTTCCCAAGAAAAATCATTGTCTGCCTCAGTCCTCCAGGCCCCTCCCCCGGAAGGGTCGGCCCTGGGCGGGGCCTAGGGCTGAGCCCTCCCCAGCGATTTCCCTGGAAGGAGGAGCCAGGGGGACTGAGAAGAGCTTCCCGGTCTGTGTTTTACGCTTTCTTCTTCACTCTCGTTTGTGGCTCCTTCGCCCAGGCTCATCCTTAGCTTTTCCTCTGGCGACTTATTCTTCAGCTGCCTCTCCCTGCAGGCACATTTTACTCCCTCTTTCGGCCCGACTTCCTTATTTTTCCTTTTTTAGGTGAGGGCAGCACGGAAGGGGTGGAGGATGGAAACTGAAAAGTAGTTTTTGTAAAAAACTAGAGACAATTTCGTGAATAAAGGAATTTGGAAATTTTCCTTGCAAAACGTTCTGTTGAGAAACCACCTTTTCCATAACTTCCTCCTTTTAACCTTCGTGTATATTTTTTCTCTCCTAAGCTTTTAATGCTCCAAGGTTCCGTCTCCTTCTCAGCCTTCACTTCCTTTTAAAAAGGTCTTTCCATGGTACAGGGGAAGCATGAAAGTTAATTTAAAATTATTATTATTTTTACTTTTTTTGATGAAAGAGTAATTTGAAGAACAGCCTTTGGAAATGTGGGGGGAAAAACAGTGTTGACTGCAACATTCTTTTAAGACAGGCCACTTTTCGGAGGCGCTCCCCAGTGGCTGTGGTTTAATTCCATTTAAAGATAGAGATGATTCTCTGAAAGCTGGGACCTGAGAATTTTCCAGTGGAAACCCACTGAACAGGATAGGAATCCCTTTAATGTGTGCGGTATTTTTGTGGGTAAAGTGTATGTATGGAGAATGAATGAATTTACCAAAACTTCCTAGTTGCTGAGCTATATTTTGCCAGGATCCTCAAGAATCGTCAAACCCCAAGATAGGAGACTAGCATATTCTCTCAGCGTATTGGCACCAGAATCAGATTTCAGGAACATCTCCAATATTTTTATTTCTTCTTATGCCGTCCTATGTGCTATAAGAAGGTGCTTACTGATACCAAAAGTTGGGATAGAAAGCTAAACATTTATTTTTTTAAAGAAAGTATCTGGATATTTTAACTAAAGAAAATAAATTTATTATTGAGGTATTTTATTTCACACAAATCAGGACTAAATTTCATATCAGTTTATATTTATACAGTCTTACCATTCACTGAGCTTATTTCAATATAAATTGCTGAACTTACCCTTTCCCAAAATGCTGTTATTTGCAAATGGGTTGCAATACCGAAACTACTTTTTAATTTTAGAGGTTATATATATTAAAATTTGTTAGCATGCATTGCAAATCAGGAAAAGCTACGTACTTAAGAAAAAAATTTTCAGAGATGTTGGGTTCCTTATGTGACTCAGAGCTTATATATTTGGATCTTCCAGCACTTAACACATAGTTGGTATTCCATACACATTCACTGAAATAAATATATTCAAAATTTAGTACTTTATTACTTGCAGTAAAAATAACATATGAAGCAAGGGAATGCTTTCAGGGACTTTAGGTTCGTAAATTACAGCCTGAAAATATCATCATTTCTTATCAAGATTATCTTCTGAACAAGGAAGGCATAAGGACCTAGTATAATTTGGCGAATCCACTACTCCTAATATAAGGTTTTTATCTCCTTGCAGATTCCTGAAATGACTTCATCTGGGAAAAAATGGCTGACATTAATTGGTTCAATTTTTTGATTTACCAGCCATGTGACCTTCAACAAATCAGTTTCCTCATTCATACTGAAGATAAAAGTAGTTCATTTGCAAGTTTCTTGTGAAATTAGATTAGACAATGCTTATAAAATTTCCAATTCATAGTTTTCAACACAATATAATGTTATTAATATAATACCATGTCCTTCCACTTAATCCTTACAGAAACCATGTAGAATGCAAATATTGTGTGTGTCACATGTACTTGGCCTTCTCAAGTTTTGATATGTTAAGTGATAAATGACCACTTGCTTTGTTAAACCTTTTTCTCCATTTGAAAATGGAAAAAGAATCTGCCATCATTTAAACTTTGAACTGAACTGAGGAAATCTATACCCTGAGACCAAGGAAGACAACATTAAAGTTTACTAACCTTCAAATGGTTGGAGCCCCTTCTTATCCCCCTAAAAAGAAGAAAAGCTTTTTAGCTAAAAGAACACGTTAACAACAGTACTTCTGCTGATTTATAGAATTTTTTGTATCAAATTGAATTTTATTATAAAGATCTTGGTTCAGGGGGTCAATAGTTCAGACACTGGCACGTTTTACAATAAATAAAGGATGACAACATAAACTCATAACTACATGAACAATTTCTGCAGTGGACGTAATTACAGCTTTATGAAATGATCTAGACTTAAAGTCTCGAAACTTCTAGGATCCAACTACCTATTTCACAGTGGAACTCAGTCTGTGATTGGCCCTAACGCAGGTGGCCCTTGGACTTTCGGAAACCAGGTTCTGGTCACTCTGCGGCCACCTTGCCTTGCCTGCTCTCGGACACGGACATTTTCATTTCATTCCTAACTAAAGGAAACACTGGCCTATTGTTAAAGAGTTTGTTTTCATATTTTTTTTCTTTAGAGTCCAAAATGGATTTTACACTCGAACACACTTGGGATGGTTTTCCAGTGAAGCACGAGCCGGTGATCGTCGGGCTGGAGCCGGCAGGCGGAGGAGTGATGTTGAAAGTCAGTGCTCCATTTTTCAATGATCCTCCGGCCCCGCGCGGGAAGCCCGGGAAGCCTTTCAACAAGCTGTGGGATTATGAAGGTAAGTGGAAGTACTGTATTTTATTGCAAACATAAATCTTTTTATAATAACCTCTCACAGAGCTATTATTTTACCTTGCTGTAAGGAAGTAGTGCTTCTGAGGAACTGACATGTGCAGTGTGTGATGTTTCCTACCAGTCTCTCATTCTGGCTTTTCCCCCATTACCTATGTGATTTCAGCTGTGTACCTAGAAGACTGAAAAATGGCAATTACAGATCCAGATTTCTAAATTGCTGCCATATGTCCTTCCTTTACTTCTGTTACCTGTTTCGAGAAGAGTTCAGCATTCCTGTTTTGTCTTGAAGTATCTTCAGATTGCCTCTTTAACCTTATAAACCTTCTTTATGGAAGTTTGGGGGTGTTTGTCTTATAGAAACACCATCAATTTCAACATGAAATGTAGTTTTTATTTTATATGTACCAGCAAGTATGTATAAAAATGAACTCACTTATGAAACGAAGGTTAGAAGACACCATAAAATCACAGTTTCAGGGTTGCTATATGAATTCCTTCCACTGTTTCCTAATTAAGCTACCGGGCTTATCTTTCGGAAATACTCTTTATGATGCCACCCCTCAGATCACAAACCATTACTATCCCTAAGATAGAGTGCAAGCCCTTCCCATAAACGTCCAGGGTTCCTGTGGATTGGGCTACCACACTCAGCCAAAAGCTCCTGCCTTCCAACAGCCTACCCCCACCCACATGCCTTTCCTCATTCTATTCCCCTGCCCCTAATACACAGTGCTCAAGGTCTAAGGCAGTTTCCATTTATTCAAAGAAACCTTTGATGACTCTTCTAGTCCCCATTAACATCCACTTCCTCTATGCCATCTGCATAGCATGCCTTTTATCAGTGTTAATTTATCATATGTTAAACATATGTTGTCCTTTACGGATACGGAACTTGTATATATCAGCTCCCCACTGGTATACACACCAGTGCGACTTATCTACTCAGCAAGTCCCAAATTCAGCTCATGCGCTTTCCTCATAAACTTACCTCTTTCCCTAACCGCCCAGTCTGCACTCCAGTGCCTCAGGTCACCCAATGAAGAAATGTGAGAGTTCCCCAAGACAGTCTTTCTCACTCTCCGTATTTGGATTTATTAGCCTTGCCAGTGTCCCCTCCTAGATGTTTCTCTCATTCAGTGCCCCTCCTTCATTCCTACCATCTCTGCTGTAGGTCAGGCCTACGTCACCTTTTGCCTCAGCCAGAGCAGAGCCCCGAACAGCCTCTTTGCCCTTAAGTCCACCCTTCCCTCTTGGAAGCCAGAGCGATCTATCTACAATGAAAATTAAAGCTCATCATTCATCTTCTAAAAAAACTTCTCGGGCTTCTCCCCCTCCCGGGATAAGTTTTATTAAATATAATTTCTATATAAAATTTTTCATGACCTGGCCCCTGTCCACTCTGTAGCATCACTTATTAATACACTGAAAACTTTGCTTATCTGCTAATTTTGTTATTGTTCTGCAGCCTGCTTACCCTATACAATATTATGTATATCTTTTCATGTCAAAAATATTTAACTGTGTCTTTGGTTTTAATTATTACATTAGAGTCTACTGCATAGAATAAATAAATTCCATAATTTATGTACTAGCTTTCCTATATAATAGAAGGTTGATTTATATAATAGTCAACAATCCTACATAATAGGATATAATCATTTATATAATTTCCAATTTTTGAGCAATACTTTGATGACTAGCATTATATTTACTTCTATTTCCAGTTGTCTGGTTATTTCTTTGGGATAGATTCTTAGAAGAAGTTAACTGGCTCAAAGTCTGTGTGATGATGTTGATTTCTATAGAACCTCACCAGCAATAGCCTTTATTAATCTTTTTAATTTATGGCCATCTGATACAGGAAAATTTGATGATTTATTTCTAGGCAATATCTACTTATTTTCTTCGCTCCTTTTCCTATTCGGGATAGAGCTATAATTAAAAATGATGAGTTAATTTATTTTATACTCTAAAGGAATAAAGAAATTAGTTATTGTTGAAGCAAAATTAAATTTCTCAGTATATTGTATTTCTGTTTTCAAAAGTCGTGGAAGCATTTTTCTTGAATGACGTTACAGAACAATATTTAGAAGTTGAACTTTGCCCGTAAGTATACATTTTTTTCCTAACTCTTTACTTCATAATTTGAACACATTGTATTTTGGTTAAATCATGTGGTTATAGTATAAGCTAATTCCAACAATGTAGGGGAAATACTAATTCAAATTATGTATAATTTATTATTTTCAAGTAAATGTATAATTTATAATATATGTTTAGAACAGGGTGGGGCAAAATAGGTTTAGAGTTGAATATGCAAAACACAGTTTATTCTTGTATTATTGTTTATTAATTATTGTATTACTTTCCATACAAACAACACTAAATCTACTTTTGCCATACCTTGTATATATTGTAAATGTTTGAACATACTACATTGACATAATTTTTGTTTTACTAATGTAGTTGTTTTTCTAATAAATTAAAAAATTATTTTTTGCAAAATGAAAAATTATAAAACAGCAACTCGTTATTTATTCTATAAATTTGCATTATTATGTACTTAGCTCTTCAGGAATAAAGAGAAACATATAGATATAATGAATTAAACAAGTTTATGAAAATGTTTCTTTTAGGGAATTCTTTTAATGGCTAGATTACACTTTAGATTTGTGTATTCCATAAAAACATATTCATGTATTTCTTCGTTAATCCATCATTTATTTGTTGAGTATATACTGTATCCCTTTATGTTCAGTGCCAGGGGTAAATCAAACATGGCTTTTCCTGAGCTCGTTGAAAGCATTAGGCTTGGGCTCTCTTGGTTCAAATTTAAGCATTCTCTTGGAAACCTTCTTTCCCTGGTTGACAATTTTTATCCTGTAGATATGAAAAAGTTAATTTATGCCTTCCTTTCATCTATATTATAACAACTTTTAAATTAGAAAAATAATGAATTTTTTTTGTATTGTGATTATTCAGGTTACATGACATTTAAATGCCTCTCAGTATCTAGCATCCAGTAACCTTTGTCCCTTTGTAGCCTTGGGATTGATTTAAAAGAGATTTTCGATATTTTCTTTTCCTTATTTTGATTTTTCTGCTAACTCTAATGAGCAAAATGTAGTTTCTTGCAATTTTATTTTTCAGAAGAATAACCATATATCTTTGTGTGTCATCTTTCAACTAACATGCCAAAATCTTTTATTGAAAAATATGATCAATTGTCCTAAACTGTCACATGATGTAAAAAAATTTCACATATTGTGTGATTATTTTCACCATGTGGGTGAGAAAGCTAAAGCAAATAGATTTATAACTTGTCTCCAAGATAGTAAAGAACTTGGATCTACTAGAATTCTAAAGTTTCATCCTCAGTTTTACTTTTATTAGCTAAAAATATCAGTTTATTTTCATAAAGTGATCACTTAGTACTGGATGAGTAAGATAATTAGATTCTCTTTTGTTAGGATATTACATAATAATCATTATGTACAAAATTCATAAATTCTAAAAGTTAAAAAAAATCCTCAGAGTAGTTTGGTTTCATATATATCAGGACGGTCAATAATGAAGACTCATACTTTTGCTTCAGGTAATCAACTCCTATAATAGTTAATCTCTAGGAAGGTAATGTGAAGAATATTGTGTTTTAATTTACAGGAACTTTAACTTCTCCTAGGATGTTCTTAAGCTTGTGTAACAACAATAAAACTAAGCAGAGGAAAAGAATACTTGTCATCTTTTAGAATAGTTTGCTGAAGAAAATCCTCCCTGAAAAGTTCACAAAAGACGGTCTGTATAGAAATGTATAGATATAGTCTTTTCCAGAGACAATACATTTGTTCCGTGTAACTACTTGTAAGTCTTTGATTCTTATTGACCTGGCTCGTCCCAATTATGCTCTCTTACATGAGTTTCCTTTTGAGAATTATTGCGTTTCTCTTTGAAATGTGACATTGGCGCCTGCACCGATGGTTGAAAGCAGGACAGCACATGGGCAGACAATGTTTTAGACAACCTGTGTTTTGTATTTTCTCTCCTCCTAATGAGCTTCAAGACAGTTTTCTTGTAGAAATAACCTTTAGTAAAGCTGTTGGCTTCAGACCTGGAGATTAGCGATGCTTCTCTTAGGGAACTTTAGTTTTCGAAACTGGCTTTATTAATAAACTTCAAATACCATGACATCCCCTTGCTCCTTTTCGTACTTTGCATCATCTAACCAACTGAAGTCTTTTGTATAATTTTGCATTTAAAGAATATAAAAAGCAATCTAAACATGTGTAGCTTTTGACTATAATTATCTGGCAAAAGTAAACTCAAAAATGTCATTTCTCAGAAATTGAACACACTGGCTCTTCCTCTAATCATCTAATATTCATATTGCATCTTTTTAATTATTTGGAAATACAATACATACATTGCAGATATGAAGGATAGTGAAGAAAATAATGTTTGTTTCTTTCAAACACTCATGAGGAATTTTAATTTTGACAGCCATGGACAGCATTTGGTGCTTTTATTATCTGGAAGAAGAAATGTGTGGAAAGTAAGTACATAAAAATACAAGATAAAATTCTTAAGTGTAGAATATATATATATTTATAATATTTAATATATATGTTTAAAGTATAAATGTGAATTTGCCTTCTATATTTCCTGTATTGATTCATAGCAAGAACTTGCTCTATCATTCAAAGTGTCCAGAGGAGAGACAAAATGGGACGGCAGAGCTTATATTCCTTGGAGTTATTTTCCACCAAATGTAACAAAGTTCAATTCGTTTGCGATTCATGGATCAGAAGATAAAAGAAGCTATGAAGCTCTTTACCCTGTACCTCAGCATGAACTGCAACCAGGACAAAAACCTGACTTGTAAGTAGAAGATGAATGAAGATACATCCCAGCTGGGAGAGGTCTTTGGAAATGAATTCTCGGTAGAGCAGTGATCACATTTTCATTCAGCGGAGACGGGTGTGTGCAGGCGCCTGGTGGGGTGCTGCGTCCCCCGATGGTCCTCAGTAAATATACTTCACAGACCGGCTGTGGACAGTCTTAGTCTCTCTCCCCGCTGTAAAACTTCCATGTGTATATGTCCATAGCAGTCAGAGAAAGATCTTGCTTGGTGAATATTGCGACAGCTGCTATAGAAGTATTGCAAATTCATTTATGATCCCTTTCGGAGACAATAGCCAGAGACATCCAGGTTCTTGGTGTGAACAAAGGGTTAATGAATTCTTTCCCCTGTTGCTTGAGAATGTGACCTTCAGTTAGCTCCCTAGTTCTCTTCTCTTGGTAAACTCTTAAGGATAAAAATGTCAACTAGGTTTCTAGGCAACATGGCTTATGGTAAAAATGACTCCCAATTGGTAGATTGCATCTGGACTGATAGTATTATGAATAAACTATAAATACCCGGTGGGGACAGCACGGCTTCGGATTTCCCTTTAACAGTCATGCTCTCCCTGTGGGGTCCCTGCAAACTCTCTGTGGACTTATTAGAAGAGTAGTGGCCCCTGTGGGGCAGCAGACATGTGAGCCCAGGTGTCTCCTACACCTGCCTGATTTGACTCTCACCTCTTTGAAGCTGCCAATTAAGAGGATACAGCTCTGGGCCAGCTGGACGGATGCTTCAGGGACTCCGTCAGAAGGGGGAGCCAGGTGCCGTCCTGGGGCGCCAGGGTTCCTGCTCCCTCGGTCTCTGTGTGTGCTCGGCATGGCCACAACCGTCTGGCCAGCTTGTGTGTTCAGATGAGCCCAACAGGAGCATCCTAGTGGGCTTTGTGCCATGGCAGACTGGCTTCTCTGCCCTTTTACCCTGGAAGATGCTCTCCTCCTCTCCCTGTTTGCCTTCTCCTTCCTGTCTTGCTCTTGCTTCGTTTTGCCTTCATCTCTTCTATCCCACTTCTTTCTCCTGCCTGACATACTTTTTCCTCTGCTTTTCTTCCCAGTCCTGAACCTTTTTAACCAGCCTCTTCCTCCCGTCTTTTCTCTTAACCTTCACTATCGGTTCCTTCGCCGCCTCATCTGGCACTGACAGTTGTGGCTCAGTCTGGTCAGGTGAGCAGCATGGGACTGGAGTCTAGATGCAGATGACTCAGGACCCTCATATCATGGTGGCTTGTTTCTCTGGCTCCGCACCACCTAACACCTTCTCATCCTTAGGTTCTTAATGTGATGTTATGCTCAGCTCCTCAATTTATATGTTATTGCAGGAAGAAGTATGATTATACCATCTGCCAGGGCAGAGCCACGGCAGAGTGGTTTCCTGCAGAGCTGAGCTCCACTGCAGCACGTTAGTGAAGCCTTTCTCCCGCATTAAAGACACAGGAGAAAACTCCATAGTAGTTAAATAGTGTTCCTGGGAAGAAAAGAACTAGGATTAACACTCTTTTCACCTCCTTTGCTTTGGCAAAGGAGTCTTATCCTCTAATCAACGGAGCTGAAACATTTAAAAACAATTGTTCAATGACTAACATAAAGTATATCAGAGTTTAAATATAAAACATCTTTAAGAATATAATATGATTTGTTTAACGTCTGATGGAATGAGTCAGGCTTTGAGGGTTGATTTTTATTTCTCCCCTCTGCTGTGTGGGAGCTATCTGTGAATTTAGAGGAGAGTGCTTTGGGATGTGGGTGCGTGTTTTCAGAGCTGAATGTTTCAGAGCTAGAGCGAGAAAATTATACATACAAGCTATATCTTACCTTTGGTGTTCTTAAAATAGAGTGTTGTCCTATCACAGACGTGACAGAATGAATAGCTCTTCAGAACAACTATTTCACAAACACATAAGTCATTTCAATTCCTACCTTCATTTTCTTTGCATTTAGCCATCGTCTGGAATATTTCAAGCCTTTCAGTTTTAACACACTGCTTGGAGAAGAGTGGAAACAACCAGAATCTGACCTGTGGCTAACAGAGAAACTTGATGTGTAGGAGTATAGTTGATGACCACATCAATCACTTCTTCTCTGTACCTTTGAAGGTAAATCAACCACACATATGATCTCTTTCAAGATACTGTGAAAACATCTCAACAATAAATGTTTTCATAAAAGTCAACAAAAGTATAGTGTCTCTCTGGCAAACGGTGCATAAATTAACAAGAAAATGGAAAGTTTGTAAATGATTGTGTCTGTAAAGTTAAAAATTTTCTCCAAGTTATTTAGTCCAGAAACTATCATGTTAATGAGTTCTGTCACCTGCTTTGTATCACCTTTACCCCAAATATCCCTGACTCTTGTCAATCAAGTCATTATTTCTCTTCCCACTTTGCTAAACCTCAGCCAGTCTGAGATAGGAACATCTTATTTGCATATTTTTGAACTCCGTGTGGTATCCATTAATTCTTTACTTGGAATCTTTTGTCCATTCTTGAAATGGGTAGAAAACTATTTCAGTTGAACAGGAGATCCACATTTGCTAAGGCGTCATTAAGATATGTGTGTTATTTAATGAGCTGTTTTTCCTGTCGTATGACCATTTTTACTCAGTAGAGGAACGGAATTCGGGTAACAGCTTCTGCTTTTATTATCAAGAAATGCCATTTCTTAATGCTATTAAACAGTGTGTGGAATGTACTTTTTTTTTTTTGCAAACATCAAGCAGCCTGGTCTACAATTTTCAAATTTGCAGTTACAACACATTTCATAGCTTGAAGCCATCTCATAGGTCATTTATGAACTTCTCCACCAAACCTGGTCCTTCTGCAGCATTCTTAACTCAGAGATTAGCAGTTTTGCATAAAAACCTTCACTACTATAGTACAGATGCACAGTTGTCTACCCAACAATATATTTTGTCTCCTTCTTTATTAATAGAACTTTAATTTTTAGGGGCTGTTCTCAAAAACCACCTTTTCCCAGATTCTTTGCCGATAGAAATGACCCTATAAAACAGTTCATATCAATGAGATGCAAGTATTATTTAAAGTGTTTGGTGGGGCTTCAAAAAAAGAGGCTTTAAAGATGGAAGACTCAGCTGCCGCACACCCTCTGTCCTTTGCCTTCCCCCTTCCGTTTTCCTCAATTGCAGGAGGAATCCCTGAGGTGGCACACCAGCTACACTGGCCCACGAGGAGCCAGCTCAGGGGCAGCTGAGCAGAGGAGCCTGGGTTCCAAAGGACACAGTAGAGCAGTACTCTGTCTGGACTGCCTTCCAATACTGGAGAGGATAAAGTGCCTGGTTTGTTTCCCCAGAGTCATCTATAGATTCCGTGCAATCCCAGTTAAAAATCCTAGAAGGATTTTTTTGGGGGAGGGGGTGGAAATTAACAAACTGATTCAATGGTAATGGAAAAAAAAATACAGTTAAATATGTAAAAAATAAAAATAAAAGGAAATGCAAAGGACTTCAGCCAAAACAATTTTGAAACAGAATAAAGCCAGAGGACTTATACTTCCTGAATCAAGACTATTACTAGGTTTTAATGGTGAAGACAATATGAGCATGGTATAAATTTAGATAAATATGTTGTATGTCAGTGGAACAGAATAGAGAACCAGAAAGAGAGCTATGGAGAGTCAATTGATTTTTGACAATGGTGTCAATGCATTTAAAAGGGAAAGAATAGTCTTTTTCAACAAATGATGTTGGAATAACTGGAAAAAAATGAAAAAATATGAACCTTTACCTCTACCTAACATCCTACAGAAAAATGAACCTAATTGTGATTGGTGAAATGAAAAATTTCAGGAGAAAATCTTCACAATCTGAAGGAGAGAAATTTCAATCAGGACAGAAAAAGTACTCACTGAAATAGAAATAATTGGATTTCATCAAAATTAAAAGCTTTCCCTCATCAAAAGCCTCCAGTAAGAATGTGAAAAAACAAGTCACAGATTAGGATAAAATATTCAAAATGCACGTATCTGACAGAGGACTCTTACTGAGAATATATAAAGAACTGAAAATCAGTAATAGTAAGAAGTCAGGTAAGGAGCCAAACATTTGAACAGACATTTGGCAAAGGAAAATATGCAAAAGGCCAATGATATATAGAAAGGCTTTCAAGCTCACTTATCATCAAAGAAATGTGACTTAAAACCACAGCAAGATACCACTGAATGACTAAAATTACAAAATATACATGATAGCTAGCTGGCTTAAAATTGAAAAAAATATTGAGAAGAGCAAACATTAATGAGAACATGGGGAACCTGGAATTTCCCTGCACTAAGGGAAGGAATGTAAAGTGGTATGAATGCTCGGAAACTACTTGGCAATTTCTAGCAAAGTTAAATACATGCATGCCCTATGACTTAGCAGTTCCATTCTTAGATAGATACTCAAGAGAAATGAATGCTCATAGCAGCTTTATTCATAACAGCACCAAACTGTAAACAATCAAATTTCCATCTGCAGGAGAACGGATAATCTGATCTAGTCAGACAATGGAATACTTCTCATAAAAAAAGAATGACTTGTTAATACATGCAACAGTCTCGATGAATCTCAAAAGCATTATGCTGAGAAAAATAAACCAAACACAGCAAACTGTATAATTATTTTTATACGAAGATCAATTATAGGCAAAACTAGGCTGTCCTGAGTTGAGACTGGAGCTGCTTGGCATCGGGCAGGGGGTTCCCAGACCTGGAATGGGGGCAAGAGGGAGTTTTCTGGGGCAGTTGAGGTGTTTTGTGTTTTGATCTGGATAATGGTGTATACCTGCATCCATTTTCCAACATTCCTTAAGCTGTATATATTTGAAGATATGTGATTTTACTATGTGCAATGTATACCTTAATAAAATACTGTTATAAACTATAAATAAAATGAGATGCACTTCAAATTTATGCTGCTCCATCATTAAATAATCATTAGTGCTGGTTAAATGTGACCTATCAACTAACTGTTTTCATTTATTAAGTATCTTCTCTATCTGAAAAGAGAGCTCTTGTAAGATAAATGCTTCCTTTCCAAGGAAAACAAAACAAAAAGCACTATAATTACATGTCATGGTGGCGGTGTTAGGCATCTTTGATTAAATTCAGAAATTATTTTTAAAATTGACAATAGTAACTAATTTGATATGGTAATAATCTGCCAGTTTTGGATAGGAAATACATATTTAAAATAATCTAGAAAGATTTATTTCTAAGTTACCGGAAATAATTTTGTAAATGCATGTAAAACTATCAATACAAAAAATAAGATAAATTTCAGAGTATCCTGATTTTAGAAGTGAATCTATCTCTGAATCACAGGTTCAGATATAAATCATAACTGTTTATAAATGGGGAAAAAGTAAAGCCCAGATATTTTAGATCACAATCACAACCAATAAAACATTGACTTTGAAAGTTGTGGTTTGTGAGCTTTCTAAGATGTATTATGCATTTTTAAAACCTGTTTAGATGTTTTTTAAGCACCTCTTACCTTTCTTTCATCTAGATAAAGAGATATGTTCCTTCTTTCAATACCAGGCAAGCAAAAACACATTATATAAACATTTTCTTTTGAAAGGAACATGCAGTTTAACTACAGAATTTTGGAAAATGTGTCCATTAATAAGATACAAACAATGAGCCCTATAGAAGCTTAATATTTGAAAGTGGGTGTTTGTAATAGCTGTTTCAAATATGTTCTTCAACCTCGGGAAAGGACAATCATCCCTTTCATTCCTTTCCGAACCCCAGGCCCCTCAGCCCTTAACCCCAGCAGCCAGGGGCACTCTGAACCTGACAGCGCCTGGCCCCCTGCAGGGCTTTGCTGCTGCCAGGCTGCGTGGACCCCCCACAGGGACCCACTCACCCACCTTGCATGCAACTACCCAGGGTGTGTGACAGAGCTGACTCCTCAGGGACAACCCTGACCAGGGAGGACAGGGGTCCGCGGATGTACACTCCTCTCTTTCATTCCTTGGATGGACAGTTCTGAGGTCCCTCCCACATCGCTCTTCAGAGGGTCCCTGAAGGGGTCACATCCCAGTTGCCTATAGCAGTGGCCAACTAAGAACACGCCTAATTTTACCTCTTCCTCGGTTCCTGTTTTCCCCTTCATAATTCCTCACTCCTGTTTGGAATGGTTTAACCAAAATCAACCTCCTGTGAGCCCTTGTCCCAAGCTGTTACCTGATTCTACAAATAAAAATAATGGGGAAGAACAAAGGTACTCATGAGCTCTTCACTTGTATGGGGTTCACAGTCTCAGAGAAGACGAGGGTTCCAACCCCTTCGTTAATAAGCCGATTGCAAAGGGAGAGACATTTTTTATGCCAGGCCCCTCTTGGGTGTTGTTTATTGGAGCAGTGTCACTGTCATTGAGGCAGGTGGACTTTGGTGGACTAGGGGCTGATCTGAATGCAAATATCTTAGTATTTATCACGAATAGGGAATGAACCAAAGTGTAGTAGAAGATGAGAGGGAAAGAAAACCCAGGCTTCCTCTTATACCAAATGCTTTTCCTAACTTGGTATTTGTGAAAGGTCAAAAGTCAAGCTTTAGAAGATCGGACAAGTTTGGCAACCAAACTTCATACCCTTGAGTAACTTGCAATGACTGTAATGGCTTTTTATCTCTATTTAGTAGAAACTGAAGTAACTTAGCAGTAATTTATTCTAAATGATTTTAGTGTACTTGTGCAGAAAACCTAAAGATTGTGAACGTCTGCCTCCCTGTCCTTCATATTTTATTGTTTGCTATAGTGACATCTTTTTTCCTTCCTGAGAAGATTGTTTTCTTTTGAAAGTAATGAAGTAGGATGATTTATACCAGTAACCTTTCAAGCTGCAAGTTGCAAACCCATTAGGAAGTGGATTATGGAATCTATACAGTGTTCTGTATTTTCCATGCATTACGTCTTGCATGAGCTTGATTATAGTCAGGTTCAATTTTTGGCAAGAATATTTTGTAGATGGTGTTGTATTCTGTCAGCAGATGCATAATGTCTGGTCGCCTCCTTTTTGTGATGTTAGAAGCCGTTGGTGAGCATTGCCTAAATCCCTGAATTCATTAAGGCTTACAATATGTCAATAATGCAGTTTTCTCCTTC